GGCTGCTCCATCATCTTCAGCAGCAGCAGTGGATACAGCCGCAGCAGTGGCTGCTCCATCATCTTCAGCAGCAGCAGTGGCTGCTCCATCATCTTCACCAGCAGCAGTGGATACAGCAGCAGCAGTGGCTGCTCCATCATCTTCAGCAGCAGCAGTGGCTGCTCCGTCATCTTCAGCGCACACCTTCCCCACCTACAGCTCCCGTGAAGCCTCCCCCATTACTCCAGGCTACAGTCAGGCCTGTACTGGGGGTTCCTCAACCACCTCTGTCTCCACCAAAGACTCCCTCATCACCTTCCATGGACCCGGCTTGGGTCCCCCCCGCTACATCCACTCCATCTAGGGAAAATGAGGACGACCTTTCCCTTTGTTTTCTATCCCCGCCTTCACTACTGGATTTACCGGAACACTCTGCAGGCATGATAAGATCGGCGATGAAGACTATTCCTCTCACACCCACTGTAGCCAGATCAAGAGTCCTATCTAACATTCAAAACTACTCCCCATACGTACCTCCAAAGCCACCTAGGGCGTCCAACTCAAATTCTCCCACAAAATCCACCCGTCCCTCCTCTAACCCCATAAGTATTCCACCCCCCCCTCCTGCTCATTTAGCCCACCTCCCCCCCCCTAACTCAGCACCAAGAAACCCTCCACCTCCACTCCCCCCTCGTCCACCACCCAACTCAGCCTGCCCCTCCCCTAACCCATCACCAAAAACCCATCCACCTCCCTGCCCCCCTCGTTCAACACCCAAAAGCCACCCACCTCTCCATCCTCCTCCCCCGCCTTCCCCTACCCCTCTTTTCTCTAAACACTAGGATGCACAGGGTCTCTGCTTCGCAGCCACTGGCAGTCTAGTTAGAGGAGAGACCCGGCTGGGGCCCTGTCATGAAGCCACCTGTGCCATTCCCTTAGTGATAACACAAAGAATACATTACAGAAAAACATCTGGAGTTAATCAGTCTAATCTGGAAAATCTAATTCTTGTTCCGTGTAAGAATCAGCCGACCGCAACCGCTGATACTGAAACTTTGAAACTTGCTACGCTTAATGTCAGATCTCTTTGTAACAAGTCTTTTTTAATCAATAATTTTATTTCTTCTCATAATCTTGATCTTATGTTCATGGCTGAAACTTGGCTTGACCAAAATTCAGAAAATGCAGTTTTAATAGAAGCATCACCACCAAATTTCAAGTTTGAATCTGAAATACGGGAAAACAAAAAAGGAGGAGGCTTAGCTGCCATTTTTAGAGACCACTTTGTCTCCCATAGAATGTCTCTTGGGAAGTTTTCGTCATTTGAATATGTGTCTTTTAAAATACAACAAAAACAATCTCCTCCAATACTCTTCGTTGTCCTATACAAGCCACCGCAGTCATGTCACAGTTTTATTGATCATTTTACCGAGTTGCTTTCAGTTGTATGCACAGATTTTGATAGTTTGGTTATTACAGGTGATTTTAATATTCATGTGGATAATGTTGATGACAGAAATGCAAATGAGCTGAGTTCTGTACTTGAATCCTTTGATCTCACTCAGCATGTAAGTGGCCCCACCCACAGCAGAGGGCACACTCTAGATCTGTTAGTTACAAAGGGGGTGATTATTTCAAATGTAAACGTGGTCGATGTTGCTCTTTCGGATCATTTCTGTGTTTTTTTTTACATGTGTTTCACTAACAAACCACCAGTGGACTCTGCAACTGTTCGAAGAAGGCGCATAAATGAAAATACGAGTGAACTATTTATGGAAATGATAAACTTTGAGAATGCATCGTATTCTACTGTAGATGAACTGTTTAACTCTGTCACCTCTAGTGTTTTGAATGTTCTGGATACCGTTGCCCCTGTGAAGGTTAAAATAGTGAAAAATAAGCAGAAGGCGCCGTGGGCTAAAGCAGACTCGGTCAGGGCACAAAAGAGAAAGTGCCGGAGGGCCGAGCGGAAGTGGCGCAAGTCCAACCTCCAGGTAGATTACGAGATCTTCAAAGATAAGTTGTGCGAGTTTAACCGGGTGCTACGTAGTACGAGAGAAAGGTATTTTTCTGAAATGATTGAAGGCTGCAGCAACAATCTGCGTGTTCTGTTCTCAACAGTTAATAGATTAACAAACCCCCCTGTTCAAATGCCATTAGAGCTTACTTCCAAACGTAAATGCAATGAGTTTGCAAATTTTTTCAATGACAAGGTTCAAGGCATCAAAAGCGCCATTGTCTCCAATCCACAGATAACCATCCAACAGCCAGAAAGGCTCTCTGAGCTAACTCACTTTGCACCTGTAAATGATAAAACTGTCCAAGAGATAATCTCCAGTTTGAGCTCCTCCACATGCAGCCTGGATGTACTACCCACTAGATTTCTGAAGTCTGTTCTGAGCAGTCTGTTACCTTCACTCACACAGATAGTAAACATGTCCCTTCATTCTGGAATATTCCCAAAGGCCCTGAAAACTGCAGTCATCAGGCCCCTGCTAAAAAAGAGCAGTCTGGATGCCACTGTACTTAACAACTATCGTCCCATCTCAAATCTGCCATTTATGGGGAAAGTCCTTGAGAAAGTTGTCTACCTACAGCTTACTAGATTTCTTATAATCAACAACTCATTTGATATGTTTCAGTCCGGCTTTAGACCCCACCACAGCACTGAGACTGCTCTCGTTAAGGTTACAAACGATATCCGGCTGAACACTGACGCAGGCAAAGTCTCAATCTTAATCTTGTTAGATCTAAGTGCTGCCTTTGACACCGTCGACCATGAGATCCTCTTACAGAGACTAGAGGACTGGGTTGGCGTCACTGGCACCGCCCTAAGTTGGTTTAGGTCTTACCTTGAAGACAGGAAGTACTTTGTGGAGATTGGAAACTGTGTCTCAGATCATATGGCCCTGACCTGTGGAGTCCCACAGGGGTCGATCCTGGGACCTCTTCTGTTCAATCTCTACATGCTGCCGTTAGGTCAGTTAATACGCAGAAACAAAGTTTCCTATCATAACTATGCAGACGACACTCAGATCTATGTCTCACTGACTGCAGGAGAACATGGACCAGTGGACTCACTCCTTCACTGTATCCAACAGATCAGTGAGTGGATGCAAAACAACTTCCTTCAGCTAAACGCAGACAAAACTGAAATGATTGTCTTTGGTCCCCAGAAACAAAGAGAGAGCGTCATCTGTCATCTACAGTCTCTCTCCCTAAAACCTTCAAACAAGGTCATAAATCTAGGGGTAATACTGGACTCAGACTTAAATTTTAATAGCCACATCAAATCAGTAACATCAGCAGCTTTTTACCATCTAAAAAACATTGCCAGGATCAAAAACATAGTGTCTAAAGCAGACTTGGAGATTCTTATCCATGCATTTGTCTCCAGTAGGTTAGACTACTGCAATGGCCTGCTCACAGGTCTGTCCAAACAGGCTGTAAAACAGCTGCAGTACATTCAAAATGCAGCAGCTCGAGTCCTGACAAGAACCAGGAAGTACGACCACATTAGTCCAGTCCTCAGGTCTCTGCACTGGCTTCCTGTGGCTCAGAGAATAGACTTTAAAACAGCTCTGCTTGTGTACAAGTCTCTCCATAGCCTCGCACCAAAATATATTAGTGACATGTTAGTCCCATATGAACCAGCCCGGACTCTGAAGAGCACAGGGACTGGACTCCTGTTAGTGCCCAAAGTCAGAACTAAACATGGGGAGGCTGCTTTTCAGATTAATGCTGCTAAAATCTGGAACAGTCTTCCTGAAGATGTGAGACAGGCCTCCTCTCTGACAATGTTTAAAACCAGGTTAAAGACGGTTCTGTTTAACTGTGCATACAACTGAGGGATTTTATATTTTTATCTTTCTTTTTAATGTTCTGTGATAATTTATGATTTTAATGCTTTGTTTTGTTCAGCACTTTGAATTGCCTTGTGTATGAATTGTGCTATATAAATAAACTTGCCTTGCCTTGCCTTGCCATGAAGAAATCCACCAGTTTAGAATCTCTATAGTACCAGAATGACAGATTGAACCCAACGCCACTTAAGTTGCCACTTAAGTTCAACGGACCATCATTTGGTCTGAATCAAATATTTATAATGGATACGCTTAATGTGTGCTCCTGAAATAAACCTGTCCCATTCTACCACTCTGATGGAACGTCCAATGACCACTTGGCAGCATATTATTATGGCCAACACACAGAGGAAAATAGGGATAAAAAAAGCATACATTTCCAACTTAAATGTAATGATTTTAAGGAGTGATCTTTATAGTCTTATGAGGAAATGCATTTTTAGGGAGTATAGACTGAAAACTGAAGAAACCGGGAATGTTTCTGGCCGGCATTATAAATAAATCAATCATTCTTATTAAAGGAACCATAAAGAAACCACTTGTGTTACATTTGTCAAGTAGTATTTGTTATTATGCATTTTTCCTCTCTAATATTGAATGGGATTTTGCATGAAAACTGTTTTGTACAGAAAAAAACAACAGATTATCTTCAACTACATTTCACACAGAAACATTGAGTTGCGTGTACATTTCTACTCACAAGGACGGCTCTAGCGTCACTTAGAGGATAATGATGTATTTATACCCATTCCACATCCCAAAATAGGTGACCACCCACTTCTTCCCGATGGATCTAAAAATACCTCTTATGTAATAAAACTCTTTACAGGTCGGAGAAGTCTTTAGTCACCAAGAGTGTTGCTTTAATTACAGAAGTTTGATTAGCACAATGCCTTTACAGGATACGATTAGGCTCCTTTTCCTCAAAGAGCTTCCCTTTGGTTGTTAAGTCTATAGCTGTGCAGCCATAAGCCACAAGTTTAAATTACTATGCTGTACATTCACCGCCTAAAACGTACACACATGTCAGACAGAACGCTCTTCTCTTGATTGTACAGTTTCTGCTCCGCTTATAGCTTCCCCTCGCCCAGTCCTTAGAATCGCCTCTATACGGTCGCTCTTTGGTCAGAATCCACCTCCACACTTTTTCCCATGAGTTCAGAGATGCCTGCTCAGCTTCTGGGCTTGCCGCTCCTTGGCGTTGAAAGCGTACTTTGTGTCCTGGAGTTGGTCGATGACTTCCTTGGCTTCTTTCATCTCCGCACAGAGCTGTTTGTACTTCTCCAGCAGCTCTTTGTTTTCCCTGCGGAGCTCCACCACCAGTTGGCTCAGCTCCTCCGTCTGCCTCCCACAGTGGACCTTGAGCTGCTCCATCTCGGACAGAGTCTCCTCCATGCGCTTCACCAGTTGCTCCAGCTTCTCCTTGTTCATTTCTGACATCTGACTGGCAATTTCTTAAAGAGAAATGTATCCCAAAGCGTCCTCTGCTCTTCTCTCCTCTCGTTGTGTCTGGGAAGATTATTGGGGACTAATCCTGAATGGCTTGCATCGCGATGAATGACATCCCGCTGTAATCCACTTTGCGGAGCTATCCTGGGAGGGCTGAAAAGTAAATTGAGACAGTTCCATAAGAATGCCCCCTGCTTAACCCCTAGACATGATCATGTCGATTGATTCATTATGTCTCTTCATAAATGTGTATGTCTCTACAAATTATTATATGACCCTCTACCTTGTTACACAAGGATCATAAACATAAATGTCATTCAGCCAACTTCAGCTTCAATTAGGACATTCCCCAATTTAAATTTCAGAACAGGTCGAATTGAGTCAATCCAGTTTTACCATCTGTGATCTCGGCCCATGGACAAGTGGTGACCCTGAAGCCGCTCTTTTGCAGAGTCACTAGTAGTAAAAGTGAACATTGTTTTGTCCACAAATAAAGAATTTTGTCCAAAGTGATTCAGAATTGGTCCAGTTAAAGTCAACCAGACCAAGAAATGTCAAGCTTGTAATTACCAGGCATAACCCAATTTTTACTTTAATCTAGTATCAATTATAAATGAGGGTTAAACTATTTTATCTTGGTTCTGAATGGTGTTTTTAGTGTTTGCAAGTTCAATTCTGCACTGACTGTTCCTTTTCTGTAAGTCAATCTAAACAAGTCCTCATCCATTTAAGTAAAGCATCAGGTAATTACAGCAGATTAACCAGGAGATCATCAACATTCGAATGGTTTTGTGAAGGGCACCTGGAATCAGCAAAGGACAAATTCATTAGTCAAATCCAATGAGAGAAATGGTTATAAGTATGACATTTCAGACAGCATTCATTCATTTTGTTTCATTTATTACAAAAAACAAAAATCAACGTTGCATAACACACAAATGCAAGTGAAGACAGTGAGCGCAGAGCCGTCACTGAAGACTAAACTTAAATCAGACATTCGAAGTTTGTCTCTGCAAACATGAGTACAAAAACACAGGAGTGCAACCAAACATCCTCTTCCCCATTTTAAAAACCTATTATTTGGTTGGTGACATCTCGACATTGGTTCACATTTTGGAAATACAAAACTTCTTTGCTACTGATTAAACACGAGGACATTGTCCCAGGTTTAAATTGGATCGTTTCAGTAGTTCAATAATATCAGATCTGAGTTATTTATGCTAAGTGTGTGTTCTTCCAAAAGTAGTGGCAAGGTAAAAGTTTCCAATCACAGTGATCAAACTCTCGATCAAAGTAGAAACCCTCGGCAACGTAAAAACAACTTGAAACGACACAAATGTGTGTGTAGTCAAAATTATTTCACAAATCAACGTAGCATAGTTTGGAGACAGCACCAGGCAAGCAGTGTGACCCCTGATCACAGCTTACAATCCCCGGAAAGTTACAAAATTATATGCATCACATGGAACTATTGTGAAAAAGAAGTACATTTCAGATCCACTTCACACACTACAGAGATGCCCTGGAGCAAGGCACTGATGCTCTGACGGTCAGCCCACAAAGCCAAGGGCCAAATGCTCCTGCGCTGTACTAATACAGAAAACTGTTACATAATTACATCATGAGTGGAACACGACTGAATGTGCGCTGCTTCGAGCAGTTTTGAGCTATTATTTATTGAAGGTGGAACATGCAACTGTCTTGGTGGAGTCTCAGACTGGTTTTGCATTGCCTGGAATGAGAAGCAGGGGGCTTATCCTCCTTCAGAAAAGTTACATAGTGCAAAGTGTACCTTTAAATACACAGCATTTTCTGGAATAGTCTCAGATATTAATATCTATATTAATAATGGCACTGAACAATTCCTTAATCAGTGCGGTACAAAAAAGCGTCAATATTTATCATTTGCTGGGATTGTTTAAGTATGTCATTAATTTTCTAACTGTAAGCCAATTTGATACTGTATCAGAAATACAGTAAGTAAAATATTTAACGGCACACGTTTTGACACATGAAATGCATATTTATCAACTTGCAACTAGATTTAGGCAAAAGGTTCATATTTCACTGTCTTCTCACACTGTAAGGCTCTTGTACATTATTATGTACACCTAATTCAATCTTGATTTAAAAACAAAATCTGACTGCAAAATAATATAAATCTGAAAAATCAAGGTTTTAGTAAGGTGTTCAGTCCAGGACAAGAGTGGTATAAAGCCGAGTGAATAGAGGTGTTTGCCAACTAAGGCAGAAGCAGTGGTTTAGGCTTTGCTCAAACTTATGAAATAACAACTCCCAGCTCATAAGTCCTTACAATTGTGCCAGTATTTTAAGAGTTACTGGAAACTTGTAACGTAGCAAATATATTAAAAAAAAGACTGAAAAGATTTGAGTTTTGAAAAATTAATATATTTTGCAAGGGGAGACATTATGGATTATGGACATTATGGGGCGACAGTAGCTCAGTTGGTAGAGCATTGGCCTTTGGGCCTGGAGGTCGTGAGTTCGATTCCCACCATGGGACCTACTCCAACTGCTCCCACTGATGACTGCTGCCGTTGTGTCCTTGGGCAAGACACTTAACCCCACATTGCCTGAAGCCCCCCGCTGAAAGATCAAGGCTGTTTCATAATTGACGGAGCAGCCATCTTCCTGTGGACTCACCCCCTGCAGAAGATCAGCGAGGGACTGGTGCTATGAGCGTTGGGTGGCAGCTCTCATTGCCACCCCCCCGACCCAGAAATGGACAAAGGGGTTGAAAATGAAATGAAAAAATGAAATGAAATTATGGAAAGTCTCCCTTAGTTTTAACAGCTTTACCGCCAGAGTGTCCCTGAGCAAGGCACCTACTGCAAACCCCCACGCGCTTTAGTAGAGCTGCTCAATTGCCGACAGTCAAAGAAAATGTTCCGATCCCAGACATGACTTTTGTGGTTGTGAAGCGCAAAGGGAATCCTTTAAAAAATCTCCCCTGTTAAATAATAGTAAAAACACTCCCAGAATCTCATGCTGGATCGCAAAATATTGAGTCCGGTGGTAAACTCTTGAACCGAGCTCACGATTGGGAAAATAAAAATAAAAGTCACTTAAAATAGAAAATTAAGAACGCCGGAAAGAAAAGGCTCAACAAAAGCATGTGTCCCATACTGTCTCTCAAAACGTGGCTGTCCCCTGTTCTCCTCACAATAGTCTTTCCCCTCCAGGCTGCAAGGAGGCGCCCTCTCAAGATGTCGGCAGAGAGTGTGGCTTGTGTGGAGGTGGGGTTCGGAGCTAGCATCCTGCTAAATGTAGAACTGATGTAGCGCCAGTTTGTCCATGAAGGGCCGTACCAAGTTGTCTGTAGCGAAGTAGAAGACCAATCCGAAGAATATGGAGATGGGGAGAGCAGGGAGGGCTTTTTTAAAGATGGCCAACAACAGGAGGGTCAGACACAAGCCCTAAAACAAGGAAAGAAGAAAATATTATTCAAATCCACGGAAACGACAGCGAGTTTCTCTTTAGTACGGTTTTTGTCAAAATCTTGATTTTGAAATACATGCATAATATAATGAAAAATTGTATGCTAAATTACAATTATAAACAGTAGGTATGGGCAGGGAGCACAGGTACAAATATACATTTATTCAAAATGTTCTTTCCCACAGCAGCTTTATAAGAAGATTGCACAGTCAGGACCCACTAAACTGTTTGCTTACAGACGCCATACAAAGTGTTCTTGGGAACTAGTTTTTCTACTGACTTTCATTAAAATATGCATGTTTAAACGCAACATAATTTTTTATATTTTTCTCTTTGTCACCAAAGTTAGGCCACTCCCTACACTGTGTTATGCGTGTATAATAAGGATATGATTGCACATAAACACAGCCTTGAGACATGGCTTTCAGACAATCAAGTCATTATGCATATTGTAACTTCTTGTATTTTGTATACATTGTGTCTCTTTGTGGTTAAGAGCGTTACATTGGGATGGCCTTTACCTGCATTTAAAATGGCCATCTCTGCCCAAAGACTACAGATGCAAGTTAGCTAGTAGCTACGTCCAGTCTGTACAATGCATGTATTGTGCAATATACCTGTCAACTAAACAAATAGATATATTTCATTTAATTTCATGTTTCATAAATATTAAGTGACACTGACAAAATGTGGGGCTCTGAAGCCTTTGAGAGATAGATAAGCTCTTAAAATGGACAGAATGTTCTTTGACAGAAACCAGCATAATGACCATGCCCAGTCTGCTGGACCTCTTCCTTAAAGACACATTTTCTCTGCATCTTGCGGAGGTGGACATCAACTCAAACATGGTGTGTGGAGATTGACGGATTGTGTACAAAAGAGGGAAAACAAGTGGCCGTAATGAGCAGGTACACTCACGATGAGGATGGCGACAAAGCAGGCCAGTGTCGTGTTCCAGTCTCCATTCGCTGAGGCCTTTCCCACCAGCATACTGTAGAAAATGAAATCTCCAAGTCCTAGTTTGACACCCCCTGAACACACAAAACACACCACAGTTCAGGGTGGAGCAAAGTCAAAACACAAGATTTCTCAACTATAATTACGATACACACGGCATGTACCATAGGTTTAGATTGAGGTCCAGACATGTACCCTAGCATTTGCCATGAATAATTGCTTCCTAATCTATGCTGGCTAAAAACAGACACATATGGTGGTGGCGTTTATGTACTCGCCAATTTCAACGGAAAAAGCAACACGTAAAAAACATTCCTAAAATGTTTTATGGGACCTGACAGATGATGATTACAGCCTGAAGGAGGCAGTCAGACGATCTGGGAATTCACAACTTTAAATTACACTTTATAATAGGGACCAATGCAATTCGCTTTCAAAACTCACCATTATGCAGGTTACAGATTTTAACAGCAAAATGCAAATTCTTATCAAGAAGGCTCAACACTAGAAATACAGTATATTTGGATACTTTAAAATATTTGGCATTTAAAAAAATAATAATTGATGCAACATCGTAGTGAACAAAGCCTAAAAAAATAACAGTTTTTGTTTTTTGGGGTTTGTGGTGAAAAGACAGTGTTCATCCCATTTTTTTAGAGAACTGCAGTATTCACTTAGACCTGCTTAAACTTTGAATAACCTGTTTGTAACTTTTGCTGCCTCTTTTCAAAGACTCCCTTGGAAAAGTGGTTCTTAATTTCAAAAAATAAATAAAAAGGTTGGTAAAGCTGCTATTCAGACTCACTCTCTTCATCGTCGTCCTCAGGCACGGGCCGTGCCGAGGGCATCTCCTGGATCTCTCTCCGCGTCTCCTCCGTGGACTGCAGAGGTCCCAGCTGGTGCTCCTGGTGACTCACCCAGTTAGACGTGAAGCCCCCATCCTCCTGGGATGGGCTGGAGGGGTCTGGAGATGCCACCGCTGGAGGACAGAGAGCAGAATTAAGCAAAAACCTGATCCTGGCTTCAAGTTCAACACTGGTCACTCACTATGGAGGATATAAAAGGAGACTATTGGTCGACTCCTAAAATGTAAACTTACTGTATGTACTCACTTCATATCTGTCAATATTACATTTAAATATTTAGAAGAGCAAAGTCTGCCTCCAAACTAGGATAACCTTTAAGGCTTCTTTTTCATTTCTCTTATTGAATTTGGTCCTCAACGATTCAGGGCTCCACCTTTTTTTTGTCTGCCTCTTCTTGTAAGTATTACTTCTTAGATACAGTAACAGAACTCAAGCATGTTCAAGTTTTAATGCAACACACACACACAAACACACAAAAAAGCGGTACGAGAACCTTTTTGAGTATACCAATAAAAGAGTTTGAATATAAACTCTGACCTGGTGGAACTTCTTGCGGAACCGCTGCTTCTGTAGAGTTTCTCTTGGGTGCTTCAGTATCGGCCATGTTTACAAGCCACACCATTGTCGCTGAAAAGAAAAACACAAACGATGTCCACACAATAGTTCCCAGTCATGGATCTATTATATTAACTGGATAGGGTATTACTAGCTTGTAGCTGAATAACTCATGTGCTCAGGGGATTCTCGCGGTACTGCAGACTAGACCAGACTAAATTCACGTGGGCTACCCAGAAATTTTCCCCATAGAACTCAATGCATATTAAAACAGCTCAACCTCAGCTGACAGAGAACCTACAGCTTTAATAAAGATCGGATTTTGTGGGGATTTTAGTGTCCCTTGTCATCCTGAACTTTTTTTCTTCTTAAATCCTTCGGTTTTGTTTAAATCCACACTTTAGTGCCACAAACTCTGCTCGTCTGGCTCTCGCTCTAACTCCCGCTCTGATGAACTGCTCTGATTGGTCAGAGCGCAGCCGAGCCCCTCTGTGCACATGCATGAGACCCGGTGTGAGACCCACACACGCGTGTTTGGCGCAACGCATTATGGGAGATCATCCACTGCGCAGAACCGGGAGGACCAGACGATGCCCAAATACAGGCGAGTTTCCCATAGATCTTTGCGAGTTTCCCATAGTTCTTTGCGAGTTTCAGGCAACTTCCGCTAATCTTTTCAGCCCCCATGCCATCACAAAGCGCCACTGAGCACAACCATTCATTTGAATAGGGCGCCATCTTGGATCGCCGGGGCTTGTTCCCAGTACAAATGCAGGCTGCATAAAAAGTTGATTATGTTTATGTCTTACAAGAGTAGATGAGCGCTGGGAAGATGGGCTCGTTTCTCTCTTGAGCCGTCTCCACCAGGATCCGCAGGGGGCCTTTGGGACAGAGCACTGCCAACAGATCTGCAGGAGACACAACGGCAAAGTGAGTAAGAGTGTGTGTGTGTGTGTGTGTGTAAAACAAACCGGCGTCTGAAATTGGAAACGTTGTACAAATTCTCTTACTTCCAATTTCAATTTGATTTATAAAGATGTGAACCGGTGCTAAATGAGGTGAGCGCACAAGGAAAAGCCACACTTGTATAATCAATATATGTATTTGGACAGAAATAGGCCAAGTCAAAGTTGGTGTAAGAAGGGAAAATTACGTTGCGACTGAGGTCTTGAGAGGCTTCTCCACAGAGCACACAGAGATGGGACCAAAAGTAATCAGCTCTGTTTGAGTGCGGTTTTTAGAAAATACTCTGTATTCTTATGCTTTGTGAACGCACTCAGAACATCCATCCATCTTCTTCCCCTTAGTCCATTTCTGGTTCGCAGTCAGAGCTGCACCCAACTCACAGAGCACAAGCCCCTCCCAGATCCTCCTGCAGGTGGTGAGTCCACAGGAGGACGGCTGCTCTGTCTGTGACAGCAGAGCCGTGATCTTTCAGTGGGTTAAGAGTCTCACTCAAGGACAAAACTACAGCATCAGTGGGAGTTGGTGGAGAACATCTTGTGGTGGGCTCAAACCCATGACCTTTAGGCTCAAAGACAAATGTACTACCAACTGAGCCACTATCCCCGTGCAATCAGAACACACAAGTAGAAATATTAATATGGATGTTTGTACTCTGTGAGAAGCACCATTTCAATAAAGATAACATACTAGGCCAAGCTACTGACTGATGTATGCAAGAACAACAACAAAAAGCTTTCACAAACTTTCAAAATATTGTCACTTCTCTCCTTTTCTGACCCAACTCATTATAAAGAACAGTGAACCTTTTAGTATTACTGCATTTCTCTATTATGAGATCAATAAAGTATATCTTGGGTCAAGATGAAACACGATTGATTTACCGTAGACAGAGATGACCGCGAGTATGAGCCAGGCGGTCCACTCGGGCAGGTACTTGATGAAGACCAGCGCCATGAGGGCACTGATCATGATGAGGTAGGCCTGCTGCAGTCTCAAGGGGCCCTTCCAGTGGATACAAATCATGCCCACCACACCAAAGTTCCAGATGATCAGTGCTATCGTCAAGAAGTCCATCGCCAAATTGTAGGTCTTAAAAACCTCCCTGTAAAACACCAAATATAAATTCAATATTAATAAGGTTTGTGGCATATTGAGGACCATATGACAGAGGTGTTGGATGGAGTTGCTTACTTGAGGTAGATGTATGAAAAGAAAAACAGCAAAAGGAGCGAGGAGAGGAACAGCCAGCCTTGGATCACCTTTGGAGAATATTAAAACATGACATCAGTGTGTAGACAACATAGTTATCATTATGTAAATACACAAACACTGAAAAAAAGACAAATTTAAGTACTAATTGATGAAAATATTAAACCTGAACTAGAGCTGTTGATCACATAGTGCAGGAAAGTCGGAACCGCGCACTAATCGCAGCCTGTTATTTTATATGGCCCTCTGCCTTGCAAACCCAAAGTGGCCATTGAGATCACAAATGAAAGTTCATTCAGCCTACCAGCTCCGCCAATATAGGCGCATTTGTACATTAAGATTTGCAGTTATCACAAAGATTGAGACCATATTTTTTCAGGAGATTTGGCCCCATTATTATCAACAAACGAGAATATCAAAACCTACATAATGTCACTGACAAATTAGCAACACACACTGATAATTCCAGTAAACCCTTTCTATAAAAAGGCCTAAGCTGCAATAAATAAGTCTCAGAAATAATAATAAATAGGTCTTACATTAATTAAATGAATAGGAATGTACAAGAGGAAAACATTGAGTATCAATATATCAAGGACCAGCTGTCATTTATCGAAAAGGACATTGTAATAATACTTGTACATCTGGGGTACCTTGTAGCAGCGGTACTTGTAGAGGAGGACCAGCACCAGCGTCATGACGATGATGACTGTGATCATGATGGTGGCGTTCAGGATGGAGTTGACAGCTCGCTGTCCCACCGTCTCAGTGTCCTCTGGGAATGGAGTGTAGATCCTGAGAACATAAACAGGCACATACATCACACCAAATGAGGGTCTAAATGACCCAGGGATGGTCAAATTAGCAAAAAACAAGATTCAGCCTGAACAAAAAAATTAGGGTATTTATTTAATCACTGTGGTATTTATTTAATCACTGTGGCGGGTCAATTTGATCAGAGGATCTCTCAAGGGTTTGTATGGTCTCTTCATCTAAAACAGAATCAAACTTTGGACAACTATAAAGTTATAAACAAAATTGTGTATTTTAACTGTCATGAATAAACTTCCCACAAGGACATATGAAGTGCATAATTTAGCACCCTGATCCCTGCTGTTTTAAAGTGTGGTGATGGTTGTTCTAACATTTTTTTCCTTTAGTCTCCTGCTGAGAAAATACTTATTTTAGTGGAAAATAATTTTCATCTCTGTGCCCACCGCAGCAGATTCACAGCTAAGGGAAGCCAGAAGGCGGACCAGGCCAAGGTCTATTCAGGCTGGGATCCAAAGGGTATAGTAGGTGGTCCAAGACTAACTATAGAAAGAAACTAAAACATGAACTATTTATTGAGTAAGAAACAGGTTCTCAAATTACGGGTGGGACCCTGAAAGTGGGTTATAGTAGTGCGGTTTAAAGCATATTTAATGTTCAGCTTACTCCAACAAAGTCTTTGACGCTTAGTGAAGCCACCAAGACATGAAAAAAAATTTAAAAAATAGTATGTCCAAAAAAACTATGTACTTTTGGAAACAGCTTAGGTCAGTTAGGTCCATCTAGTGGTCATGAGGAAGCATTACCAACAGCTGCCTATTATTAAGAATCTGTAATATTTTTTATTAGGGTATCATTTACACAATCAGAAGTTGTAGTTTCACTGAATACATTTCCAGTTGTTGTGAAATAAATGTTAAGTTGCACATTTATATTGGTATATGTGGTCAGTTTTTTTTATTTATTACAAAGTATAGTGCAAAGTATACATGTTACCGGTTGCTTAAAATGTTAGTGATTAAGTGATAGTCATAAACCACAAGTCAAGCAAACATCCAAAGCTTTTGAGCAAATTATCTGAAGATTTTGGTATGTATTTTGAAAATCCAGCCAAATCAATCTTCATTGAAAATACTAAAATAAATAATAATGCATCGGTTTTATATAGCGCTTTTTTGGACACTCAAAGACGCTTCACATGTGTCATTATTCATTCACTCCATACACGGTGGTGATAAACTACTAATGTAGCCACAGCTGCCCTGGGGCACACTGACAGAAGCGAGGCAACCAGTATGTGCCATCGGCCCCTCCGACCACCACCAACCATTCACACACACACCAGACTCATTCTAGGCAATGGGGGTGAAGTGTCTTGCCTAAGGACACAACGGCAGTTTGGCACTTTACAGCCGCAGCCGCCCCACTGTGGCTGGTGTTCCCAGAGGTTAAGTGTCTTGCCAAGGACACAACGACAGTAGTCAGTGGGAGTCGATGGTGAAAGTCTTGAGCGGGGCTTGAACCCACGACCTTCTGGCTCAAAGGCCAACGCTCTACCAACTGAGCTACTGCCGCCCATGATTAAATTTGCCTATTATTAAAATAAATACTTTATTAATAGCATTTTGTATGAATTTATACCAAAGATTGAGAGAGTAAAGTTTAGTTTGGATACATGATTGTCAGAGCTTTTGATGTGCCTCTTTTTAGTCGACTAATTGATGGACTGGGTTTATTCGTTTTACTCTACTACAGCCATAAAAAGCACCAACTCATGTTTTTTCCAACCATATGATCTACTCGTCCATGCTTTATGATAAACAGTTGCCACTCACAGCCTCTGTCCGTCGTTCTGCGTGTAGAAGCTCACAGACTTGATGGTTGCCACGACAACCACCATGCACAGCGTGACGGGCACGAACAGCATGATGACGTGTTTGGCTCCGTATTTTAGGGTCATCTCTTCATCCTCCTCCTCATCTGCCTCCACCACTCGAGGGGGGTGGGACGCGGGGGGCTGGCCATTCAGCTCCAGGCCATTCCCACCTGCCCCATCAGCTCCTGCGCCCCCAGAGTCTCCTCTGGACCTCAGCCCGGACTCAGACTGCAGTGGTGGGCCCGGCTCTGGAGCGGCACTGGTCTCCTGCTGCTCCTGTAACACAATGCAAGCGCTTGTTACATGTGCAAAAGTCTTAGCTCTGCTGTCTTTTGGTTTCCTTCTGAAGATGGAGACAGTTTAAGAAATGAGTTACCCTGACAATCATGTTATATTGTAATTCAGTTACAATAATATTGTTTGAGAAAAATTCAGAGTCAATACATACATTCTGATTTGTTATAATGACGTGAGGCCCAGGTCAATATAAACGTTTTATAACAAAACATAATAACAACTTGGTAAGACGTTTTAGTAATTATATTGGTTATAGTAAAACACATTAATTCAGTGTGAATAACCGATTTGGGAACAAAGCACAATTAACTGGGGAACGCATATTCACAAAAAATAATACATAAATTAATAGAAAAATAAATAATGGAACCATGTTTCTATCACTAGTTTTCACATGTTTATGTTTTAGCCTATTTTTTAGATCAGCTTTTCAGACAGAAGTGATAGAGGCCCTCCTTATAAAAAGTATGCAAAAGAATCATGTTTACTTTATTAGATAAATGAATATTACTTTTATAAAACTCTTTCTCTGGAGACAAACTAATGGATTATTTATGAAAAGAACAAATGGTACCCCATATTTAAATGTGTCAAAAATGTTCAGCACTTTGTTAATTTGAACAAATCTACAGCGGGGCAAAAAAGTATTTAGTCAGCCCCCGATTGTGCAAGTTCTCCCACTTAAAATAATGACAGGAGGTCTGTAATTTTCATCATAGGTACACTTCAACTGTGAGAGACAGAATGTGAAAAAAAAAATCCAGGAATTCACATTGTAGGATTTTTAAAGAATTTATGTGGAAATTATGGTGGAAAATAAGTATTTGGTCACTTCAAACAAGGAAGATCTCTGGCTCTCACAGACCTGTAACTTCTTATTTAAGAAGCTCTTCTGTCCTCCACTTGTTACCTGTATACAGATGACTAGTTCAAACAGGTGCCATTAATAAAAAGACACCTGTCCACAGCCTCAAACAGTCAGACTCCAAACTCCACTATGGCCAAGACCAAAGAGCTGTCGAAGGACACCAGGAAAAGAATTGTAGACCTGCACCAGACTGGGAAGAGTGAATCTACAATAGGCAAGCAGCTTGGTGTGAACAAATCAACTGTGGGAGCAATTATCAGAAAATGAAGACATACAAGACCACTGATAATGTCCCTCGATCCCAAGATCTCATCCCGTGGGGTCAAAATGATCATGAGAACAATGACCAAAAATCCCAGAACCACACGGGGGGACCTGGTGAATAGCCTGCAGAGAACTGGGACCAAAGTAACAAAGGTTACCATCAGTAACACACTATGACGACAGGGAATCAAATCCTGCAGTGCCAAACGTGTCCCCCTGCTGAAGCCAGTGCATGTCCAGGCCATGTCCAGGCCCGTCTGAAGTTTGCCAGAGAGCACATGGATGATACAGCAGAGGATTGGGAGAAGGTCATGTGGTCAGATGAAACCAAAGTAGAACTGTTTGATATAAACTCAACTCGCCATGTTTGGAGGAGGAAGAAGAATACTGAGGTGCATCCCAAGAACACCATACCTACTGTGAAGCATGGAGGTGGAAACGTCATGCTTTGGGGCGGTTTTTCTGCTAAGGGGACAGGACGACTGATCCGTGTTAAGGAAAGAATGAATGGGGCCATGTATCGTGAGAGTTTGAGCCAAAACCTCCTTCCATCAGTGACAGCTTTGAAGATGAAACGTGGCTGGGTCTTCCAGCATGACAATGATCCCAAACACACCGCACAGAGGCCTAGCCAGTCTTCAGACCTCAACCCCAATGAAAATCTGTGGAGGGAGTTGAAAGTCCGTGCTGCTCTGCGACAGCCCCAAAACATCACTGCTCTCTAGAAGATCTGCATGGAGGAATGGGCCAAAATACCAGCTACTGTGTGTGCAAACATGGTAAAGACCTATAGTAATCGTTTGACCTCTTATTGCCAACAAAGGTTATATTACAAAGTATTGAGTAGAATTTTTGTTATTGACCAAATACTTATTTTCCACCATAATTTTCAAATAAATTCTTTAAAAATCCTACAATGTGAATTCCTGGATTTTTTTTGCATTCTGTATCTCACAGTTGAAGTGTACCTATGATGAAAATTACAGACCTCTGTAATTATTTTAAGTAGGAGAACTTGCACAATCAGTGGGTGACTAAATACTTTTTTGCCCCACTGTAACTTTTCACATTCCAGTATAAAATAGCCCACACTCCCAGTTCTCCCGTTGAGCAATTTCCATCTGTTCTATTTGATTTATTTTACAGAAAACTTAGCAGCATTTCAAGGCCATCTTGTGTTTTCATGCCGCTGTTCCACATTCTCACAGACAGTCAGATTTCCCAGAGGATCAACAGTCTCTCCTCTCTGTGCTCAACCCTAAGGAAACAAGATGAAGAGGCAAAGCAAGGAGACTGAACCAGAACTGTCAGGCTGTCAGCAAGTCCAGGCAGGAGACAGCAGCTCCAACACAGAGCCATTTGAGCAGGTAAACACAAGTGCATAAGAATCTACCACCAGAGACCTGCACAGTGAAGGCTGAAGAGTGATAATAGCAACATTAAATAGGCAGACAATACACTACAAATGTGCTGTTTTGTGTAGTTCAGACAAAAGGTAAACATTGACATTTATATCAGTCAATAATCTTTTTAGTATTCAGTGTTTTTTTCCTTTTTTCTGAATAAATGTTTGTAATAATAGCGGATTTAAAATTAAGTGTTTTTTTTTTTTTTTTTACAACATTTTGTCATTTATTAAAGTGACATTTCACCTGTGTCTGTGTGTTATGAAGAACCTTACAAATCTGTTGGCACAACTTAATATAGTTGTAGCCAAGTGTATACTCAAAACACTGCATTGTCGTCAGTGGGCAAGAGAGGAAAAGGGTAACATTTAAAAATAGCATTGACAATAAAATAAATATTTTCCCATAGAGGCACGTTAAAGCATGACTGAATAGAAGAACAAGGTAGAGTTGCACCCATTTAAGGGAATGTTGTGATACTCTCAGTCAATGAACAAATATTCAGTTCCCCTGGCCTGGATGCCACTTTTGAAACAACAAAAAAGTAAATAAAAATGCATAAAATACATATCTACATTAAAACAGGTCTATGCTTTTCAGGCCCCACCTTCTCAGAGTAAGAGCAAACATTATACTGGTAATGACTCAAGAGTCTAAAGAGCGTATGAGTCATACCTCTAGATATATAATATTATAGTCGTAAGTGAGGCCAACAACTATGGAAAACACCATGAGCACAGCAGTTCTTCACAGATGTAATAAAAAGGTCAAAAAGAAAGCAGAGACATAACTGCAAACTTACCATGTTGTTTTCGATGTCTTCTGCATTGTTTGCCATGACCAACTTGGATGAAGTGCCTCACCAAATCTGCAGGCAAAAACACATGAGATGTTGTCATTAAAATGGTTCATAACCCAAGAATGATATATATATATATATATATATTCCTTGGAATTCCCTATATGAAAGGCTTCTAGAAGTCCCTTCCTGAGCTCTATAGAAAGGCGTGTATGGTTGAACACTTCAATTAATGGGATTCTTGAATATGTAATTTAATAATACAGTTTATTTTCTAGTCGCAATCCTCCTGGAAATATGCACTCTTATTGAATCCTACTTGAAAACACATTAAGCAAATCAAATGTGGTAGAATATATAATAAGATTTTTGCTAAAAAAAAATATGAGGCTCTAACAGTATGCAGTCAAAATCACAACAGAACACATATTTTGGCCTGAGAAAATGAACAACTAATGTCTTTGGCAAATACCCACCTGTAAATACAAGTGAGTAATGTAGTTAGCAGAGGGCGGGTTAGAAGATAGTTTAGCTCCGAAATAACTAGTTTCTACGGAGATAGTGCCGAAATGCGTGCAGAATGTTGCCGGCCTGGTCAGCATTATGACCTAACAGTGATTTCATTTGGAGGTGGGCCACTTTAAAGATTCGTTTCCCGATTCCCGAGCCGCTATGTCTCGTTAGCCGCAGCGAGCACAGAAGCCGTTTTACAGAAATCTGGTGCAGCTGTAAATCATTCACAGATAACATAAGAGTGGTCAACAAGTCACCCGTACCTGTTACATGAAGTAGTTTCTTTGAAGACGAGGGTTTGTGGCGTGTGCTATTTAGTGCATTTTAAACCCGGGACTTTCTCCTCTTTGTTGTTCCTGTCCACCCATGGAACTTCCGGTTTCGGTGTCACTGCTTAACAAACCCAAAACGTGTTTGACCAAATGCTACCTGTGTTTGGTTATTACATACGAATAAATATCACAAGTTTGTTTAAAAGTCACAGGAAAAAATTAAACAAGTGTTTCAATAACTAGATTTCTTATGCAGAATTAACGAGGGAAAAAGAAAAAAACGCAAAAGGCAGGACTCAAATGTGTGGGTTGTACTTCCGGTCCCAGAGATCAACTCATCCCGCACAACACTTGCGCCAGCAGCAATCATAAACTCATCACATCGTCGAAAACATGGTCAGTATGCCATATAAATACATGAAACGTGTCACAACGATTTTATAGATCACAATGCATTGCACCCTGTGTCTTGAAGTCGCACGTTTAACACAGATGCTAACTTATCGCTAACATTAGCATGGTTAGCATGTGTTTAAAGTGTGTGTTATGAAGTTATGCACGTTACACAAGCCAAAATGCAGTATACGCATAATGTTAACATATAATGGTTAATTGTAACATGTTGTCAGTTGGGGTTTTATATCCTACCTTTTTCTATTATTACCTTGTTTTGTCATTGACTAATGGTTTCGTCTCTTATCTTTCAGTCTCACACCATCCTGTTAGTCCAGCCAACCAAGCGGCCAGAAGGCAGGACCTATGCAGACTATGAATCTGTAAATGAGTGCATGGAAGGTATTTTCTTATCCGAATCTTTAATGTTTCAGTAAGTGGAAGTGTGACACTGCCTCCCTAAAATCCTAGTCAAAAGAGCATGATTAACAAAACGACAATATTCCTGGTTGCATGCAGGCACCAAACTGGCTGAAGAGACGCCACATTGGTTCAATTTCTGCTAAAATACTCATTGGGGTTTGGTAATCCTCCAAAATGTATTGTATGACATAAATATTAAATACTACATGATCCTAGGCATGCGACTGCACAATGGAACTGCAGACTTATATGCATGTGCCATTCACTTGTAACTGTGCGCAATGTACAATATGTAATTCCTAAGTTTTAATATAATATCTACCAATACCCGATATGAATGGATATCAGCGAAGGGACTGAAAATACAAAGAATCCCCCTCGAATTACTGCTACCTTTTTACAAAATTGGTGCTAATGTAACTTAACTGGTATGAAATGGCTACAGTGATTTATTTGGCGTAATATCAATCAGTAATTATGATTAAACTTAGTACAATGTAATGGTGGAGGTTTAAGATAAAGGGTTCTTGAAATGTTTGTGTGAAAACATTGTGTCATTATGTACATTAACTTGTACGTTTATGCCCTGAACAGGTGTGTGCAAGATGTATGAAGAACATTTGAAGAGAATGAATCCAAACAGTCCATCAATAACCTATGACATCAGCCAGTTATTTGATTTCATTGATGATCTGGCAGACCTCAGCTGTTTGGTGTAAGTTTTTCGGTGCCTTTGTGTGGGTAGTGTTTTTGGTGTTTGACAGTGCCAATCATAAGCCAAAACTATCTAAACAAACATTTTCCATTGTCTTAAGCAGATATCGGGCTGACACACAGACATACCAGCCCTACAACAAAGACTGGATCAAAGAGAAGATCTACGTTCTGTTGCGGCGCCAGGCCCAGCAGGCGGGCAAGTGAGCAGAGAGACTTTAAAACAAGGGTGGTCAGACGTTGTTCCTCAGTTGGCCAAAATGAATCAAATAATTTACTGTATTATGAAATATTTCTATAGATATTGGTGATAAAATAGATTTGAACTACTGTGTTTTTTCAAGGGAATGAAAAAAATGCGTTTTATTTGCAGCAAAAGTTTTTTTTTCTGTGCAAATTTAAAAGTTAAGATGGATAATCTGCCTTTTGCAGGCCTAAGGAGACTTCCTGGACAATCTTTGGGCACCCTTGGTTAGATGATTATGTGTGTTCCCTTTATAACGGTTTTCCACAATGTTAATGTGTTTTCAAAGTTTTTGCCCCGCTTGTGTTCTGTTCAGAAGAACTTTTGTAATTGAATGTCTTTTACTATTAAATGTTTTGTTTAAATAACGTCATTGCGCCCATGTTATTTGTTAAATGTGCCGGTCTTTTGTGCCGGTCTTGCTGATGCCTTTCACCCCTCATTCAAGGTTGTTATATCTCACATTTCTGCTGATAGCTCACCCTCTGCCCGTCAAACAAGTAGCATTTTGTAAACTTAATCTTTCTAAACAATGCAGACACTTTCTAAACATTGACAGTATATATTTTAATAAATATATTCAATACTTTGGAATTTTGAATCTGGGTAAAGGTCAACAAATCCCATCTTACATCACAAAAACTGTCTTACAAATAAAAATCTGTCTGTTACAGATGACACAAAGAAAGCTCTGTAAATCGTTTGCTGTGAAAGAACATTTTCTTCTCCATAATTTGGTCACAGAAGATGGTGGTAAATTTAAAGATATTAACTCTGGTGTGACATATATAGCTGTTTACAGAGCAACAATGATAAGTTCTGAGGTCTGGCTATGTTCTTCCCTTTTATTTATTGCATTAATGTTGCAGACAGACTTGAAACGAACAATAAAAACATCATTAGGACCTGAAGAATTTAGTGGAACTGTCTGTGAATGATGTGCATTTTTACTGTGACTTATGCTTATTCAGTTACACTGAAGACACAAGGAGGTCTTCGGTGTAACTTTGTCTTGTATTGATTTCTAAAATGGAGCTCACACGCCTATCAAGTATTTTCTTTCTCCTCGTACAGCAGCCAACGAGCGCGTCTCCAAATATTGACTGTAATCTCAAACTGCCTTTAGGGAAAACCGATTTGGGAATCACCAGTCTCTTTAAAATGAGTCTAAATGGGGAAAAGTCAGAACACGTGCATGGGACTGCGCGCCGGGAGCTACAGACGCGCGTAAAAGCCCCGACGGAGCGCGTATCTGCCAGGGGTCTGTCACCACTATCCGCCTCTCATCCCTCTCTCCCCGCCTGCACCTTTGTGTTGTGATCAGCTCTTCACACCACCACCACTGCTGCTGCGAACCCCCTCCTCTCCTCTCGCCTCCATCCCACCCTACCCTGCCCCTCACTCCGCCACTGACGCCCCCCTTCGCCTCCTCCTTTTAGCATCTGAAAGGACCACTGAGTGAGAATCGATGGCGCAGAGGCCCGCTTGACAGGACAATAAACCACAAAGAAGGGGTGAGTTTTTTCCGCGTCTTGGCTCTTGTTTTTCCCCTGTCTGCGCGCGTATCTCTGTAATGTCACCAGGAGAGGATGGGTGCTACGCGTGGCCCGGGCTGCGTGGCGATGCTATAACACAAGGCATCTTTTGTTACCGCGATAGGATTGAGACTAGAGCGACTGCCTCCTCTGCTCCGCTGCTGCTGCTGCTGCTGCTGGTGCTGCTGCTGCTGCTACTGGTGCCTTTACGCGCTGGTCTCACTTCACCACAGAAAAAACGGCACAAGCAGGGAAGACTGCGAGCGACCGGCGAGTCCTCAAGCTGTATTAATTTCACATGAACACACTTTCACCTTACATAACCCAGCAAAATAACACCGCTGGATCCCCGCTGTATTTTACGCACACGCCGCCCGGTTCTCATTGGGCGCTGCGGTATTACTGAGGGTGTTAATGCGGCCGTAGCGTAGTAAACAACATGTCAGTGGGTTCCTTACACAAATGTTAGAGTGGATTTTCAAGAAATCTTTACTCGAAATAGGCAGCGGCGTGTTTGGAGTTGTGTGATGCTTTTCAGGCGCACCTTGCAGCCGACAGCAGTGGAAGTCAAATCAATGCGCAGGGGAGCCGTCTATTTACAGATATGCCCCTCTCATGTCTGAGGAGCCATAACAATAGCTCCCTTCGTCCCGAGCCCAGAGCCTAATCAATACACTCCAAAATAAGACTCTATTATTGGTAAACGTCCAGACGCACTCCCACTGTCTCAAACAAACTGATGAATCATATATTGATCAAAGGAGGGAATGTGTTTTGGTGTAACCTCGTGTGACCTGACAGGTATTGTGCTACAGACAGGTAGAAGGATGAAAAGTCTGTGAATGACTACAGCTGTCTAGAAAAAAATCCTGATATTTCCATGAGGCCTCCCCCCAAGGGAATCCCCATTTGACTTTAATTGCCCAATTATATTTTTTGTCCATTGTTATTATATGTGGAGGTGTACTGCTTGATTGCACGAATGTTACGAGTAGGATTGGCTTAAAACACCATTGCAAATCAAGTTAAGTTTAACATTTGTCAACTTCTAGGATCCATTCACACATTTTGGTCAATAGCAATGCGGCTCAGCAACCTCTTTTATAGACCCTACCATAAAAAACAAGATGAATTGAGGTTAAAGTTTCCAACATGGCTTCTGATAACAACCCTCCTCTCCCCAGGCTTCCACACGCAGAGATGCCCCCGCAGAGGGAGTGCTCATCTCTTGTTATACAGTCTGTTTGCCGTTGTGGACTGGCATCTCTCTGTCTCCACATCCAGCTGAAGACCACGCACTTCTTCCCATGAGGCCACCAGCAGAACTCAGCTTGGACCGCTCTGTATGGGGCCTTTTGCATATCAAGTATGTTCTTATATAATGCCAAGTGAAGTAAAAAAAATTAGCAGAAATATGTTATAGCAAGTGAAACTTCAAAAGTGTAGTGATTGATATAATAGTAACACATCTCTGTAATTGTTGTGCAGAAATATGAGGATTAAGCAGTGATTCAACAACATCAAATGAGTGACACAGCCTGACCAATGTTGACCTTGAAGTTGATGGGATAAGTCTTCGTTATAGGTAGACTTTAGAACACATACTGTATGCGTAGCAGAGGATTTGTGACAGTGTTTGTGCTCCCTTGGGACCAGCATTTATCGCTATGAATAAAGGGATCTGTATGTGTCATGCATTGTGTGGGGGGAAAAGGTAAATTGGCATACAATGTTGGCACATTTACCACAGATCTATTTAGGGAAATATCATCGGTCACTTCTCACTTGCACAGTGTCATTATTTCTCAACATGTTTTCATATTTTGTATTTGTGAGCCATCAAATCAATGTGATTTTTTCTTTTTGTAGTTGACATGGAGGATGATGATGGGACTTGTCTACTTGATGTTTTGTGGTAAGTTGACTGAACAAATGATATTCTAGAAAGAGTTATAAGTGTCATATTCCGTTGCATATACACAATATTTGATGTGTGGTGTTTAGTTAATATTCTCTATACACAGTGACCCTCAAGCCCTGAACGACTTCCTACATGGGACCAATGAGGTAAGTGCTGGAGTAAAAAAATCAATAGCGTAAATAGTAAATCTGAGCTGGGAATCTCTTTTTGGCTCTGTAGTGTGTGGAGGCCCTCTGTCAGAATGATTTACAGAGGTAGGCAGAGTTGCCAAAATGTGACATATTTTGGTCAAATTCACTACTTTTAGAGTAGCAGTGGATTGTACCAAAACAGAATTGTGTGACAAATTGAGCATCTATAGCTCAAGACACAGAGTAAGAACGACTGATGTTATCTTTTAAGTTAATTTTTGAATGTGCAAAGAGCTGTATATAGATCCCATGTTTGGATTTTCTTAAGAAATTAAGTCTATTTATGATCAAAGTAATCATCTTGAGATCTACATTAAAATCATTTCTCATCACAAATCCTCTCCTAAACTTTCGGCTTTGGTCCCAGCAGCTGCCGACTGAAGATCTGCTCATTAACTCCTCCTCTGGGGAGGCGTCCCTCTTCACAGATGCCCCGGTGAGTGTCTAGATCCACTGCCAACAGCGTCACAACAACTAACAGCATGTCCCCCACGAGAGGAGCTCTTTGCCCTTCCCATGCGCCACAAATGCATCCTGCGAACTTTTGCTCGTTCACACTCTCACTGCATGCAGAGCTGACATGATTATTTTTTTTCAATAATGTTTTTTCGAATGAGTTCTTACAGTCAGTGTAAGAGATGAACTATGACCCTCAAATGTTTTTTTTTTTTCTGTTAAAATTATGTGTTTTTCATCTGCTGTTGTCCTATTCTCCACAGAGCCCAGGGTCTCTGCTCGGAGATGGGGTGGGGTCCCCAGATTCGTCCACACGAGGCTGTGTGGACCTGTCTTTTTTGGAGGAGGCGCTCCTGTCCTCTCCAGAGGCAGCAGAAGACCCTCCCCTGGGGCCCATGGAATCACCTGCAGAGCTGGAGCTCAAGAAGGCCCCTGTGGAGGAGGCAGAGGAGGCGCAGGTGGCCTGTGATATTCTCCAGCAGAGTTTGCAGGAGGCTGATATCACAGAGCAGACCATGGCTCTGGAGGCCGGCCTGGTGCAGAGTGGAGACACTCTATCCCTTTACTCACCGACCCCTCTTCTCTCTCCAGTTCCTTTTGTGTCCAAATCTGTAAGCTTACCTGTGGCCCCCATCCTGCCCAGAGACACCCAGGCAGCAGTGGATCCTCCTCAGCCTTCTCTGTTGGCCGTGGGGCCTGGATGCCCCTCACTCAAACCGGCGGCTCCCCCTCAGTTCATGGGACTTCTGCCTGGAAATGTGTTTCCTGCTGCTTCTCCTGAAATATCTTTGAGTCATGCTAACGGCCCCAGTATGATCATCCATAAGGCCCTGCCCACTGCCCCCCCTCGGCCCATTATTGCCCAGACTCTGCGAGCAGCTGCAGCGCCCGCTCCTGGTATCGTCCTGCAGCGCACTCCACTTGCCATCCAGCCAAAGCTGCCCATCACCATCCAGCCCAGACTAGTTCAGATCAGCCCGAAGCCCTCATCACAGAAGACAACCTCTGGTCTGACCTTTGTCTCTGGTACAGCCTCTCCTAATATTCTTCTGTCTCAACCAGCGACTCAAAAATCTGCTCCGGTCCCACAGTCCACACCTCAGCTTCCTAAGCCAGTCAGTCTGCAGCTGGTCAACCAGGCGGGCTCCTTTGTGTTGCAGCCTCATGGCCTCTTCCATGGGCAGAACCAGCTGCTTCTTCCAGGACAGTCTCCTGTCACAATCCCACAGCACACTGCGGCTCAGCGGCAGCTCCTGGCTCCCCAGGGCCCCACACTGCACACGGTGGCTCCCTCAGCAGGACAACTGATGGACAGCTCTCAGATTCTGACTGTTCCTCAGAGGCAGCTGAACTTCAGCCCTGTATTTACCACCCCCACAGGGCAACTTGCCCTTCGCCAGGCCACAGTTCTGTCTGGATCTCTACAGCTGCAATCTGCGTCCCCTACTGTCTTCCAGATGCCAGCGCAGCTCGCAGGGGCATACACAGCTGGGGGCCAGGGGTCCCGGGCCACTCTGGTTCACAGCCCTGCCATTGGAAACCACATTACCCTGATCAACAGCACAGGGGTGCTACCCTCAGACCTCACCTCCATCTCCATAGTAAATGGCGCTTCAGTGGTTCAGGGGCTGCCTTTCACCACTCAAACCCAGGTCCCCCAAGCCAGAGTAACAGAGGCTCAGCTGGGCCTTCAGCAGGGCCTTCAGCAGGGCCTTCAGCAGGGCCTTCAGCAGGGCCTTCAGCAGGGCCTTCAGCAGGCCTCTGTGGTGCTTCTGCCTGAGCGCACCATCACAGAGGAGAGGGCTCAGGAGGAGGCTTTCCATTTGACACAGGTGAGCTCCCACTGACGGAACATGAAGGAGCATCCAGACCTTATAATAAGTCTCATTTGTTTCTCTTGCAGTCCTTTGGACAAGTGCTGCGGCAAGTCCAGGCCACAGGACTGCAGCCCGCCACTCCTCCTGTGGTAACCGTGATACAGCCACCTGCAGACGCACCTCTGGTTCCTGACCCTCCCACTGTGGACATGCCCAAACTTCTAATGGCTCCTGCAGAGATAAGCCAAGTGGTGGAGGAGGTGACCCAGCTGAGTCAGAACCAAGCCTTTATGCAACAATTGCAACAGGTCAGTGCCAAACAATACCAGTACTGTATCACTGTATTCATTATTTTTTTATTAAATCTAAGGCTCACCATCCTGATAATTTCTTTGATGTGCTTATTGTCTCCCTATAAAATCCACAGCAAGCACTTACTTCCCCGCTGTCGTCGGATCTGCTGGTTGGCGCCCTGCCAGTGGTGCCGCTGGAGGCTCTGTCCTCTCCGCAGGACGGACACAAAGAGGTCAGAGCGGAAGCCCATGGAGTCTCCTCTGGGCTCACAGACCAGTGTGTGCTCTCTCCTCTGCCCTCAGACCTGGACGACTCCTCTGTGCTCTGCTCCCCTCCTTCCTCCACTGACACCCCACAGACATTTACACCTCCAGCACAAGAACCTGACACTTCTGCCCCACTGTCACATATAGAGCCCCCACAGTACCAGCTACAGGATCAAAATGCCTTATTCACCCAACAACAAGAGCAAGTCCAACCCCCTGTATCACAAACCCAAATTACAAACTGTATATCACTGCCCAAAGTCCCAGTCCACACATCTCTGCTAACATCTCTGTCCCACATTCAAAGTCAGGGTTCTTTATCCCAAGTTCAGCCGATAGTTCAGGTCCCAGAAGACCACAACGCAGCCAGGACCCCCTCCCCTGTGCCCACCCCACCTCCAGTGTCTGTGCCTCAGCCTGGTCCCACAGCTGCCACTGGGGCCTCTTCAGGAGATCAGCCTGCTGTTCAGCTACACACACATCACAGTGAGTCCCCAAGTACAGTACTACACAGGGTCATGTGGGGAAACGCTGCTGTCTGATACTTGAAACTTCTGATCCAAAAGCACAGACAAGACAAGATTGGGTTTACAGTATGTAACGGGACACATATTGCATTTAAAGTGAAATACTGACGACCCCATTCAAAATAACTTGATATTATTATAAAGTGAATCAAGGGATTATTTAAGCCATGCAACAACAACAGAGATCAGTCCACCGATAGAGGAATCATAGCCCAAAAATAAATACCAATCACACATTTATTGTTAATACAAAAACATTTATACAGCACTTGGATATAATTGAGTTCAGTCCATCATTCACCGAGCTCTAGCCTCCACACCCACGCACTAGTTATCATTTCCTTCCATTTGGCGTGCTGAATGACACTTGAATGAATTTGTACTAGTTCAATTATTCCACCTAAATTACCTTTAATTGTAATGATGTCGTCCATTCCTCTGGTGATCACATCTGTCACTCCGCTCATTACAGCCATCACTAATTAAATCTTTATGATGACTTATGAGACACTAATCTTCTCCTGTACGGCTGTGCTCAGAGCCAACTCCTGCCTTGGTCGCAGAGGGGAAAGTCTTCAGTGCACCCTCCCCTGTATCTCGCGGTGAATACCAATGCTCTGCCCGCACAGAGGGGACCAGCATCCAGCCGCCACCATCCAGCCAGCAGCAGGACACCAAGGTAAGAGGCCATATAAGAATACTCAACTTGCAAGCATACAGGCACGTATGTAAACACAGGTGTTTTGATTCTAAAAGCTGCCACACAACAACAACAACAACTTATTCTTGTTTAGCCCTAAATCACAACAGCAGTCACCTCAGAGGACTTAACAAAATCATTGAAATCACTAACACAGACCAGAGAATCAACAGTTAAGACACAAAATATACACATATGAATTGTTCCTTAGGGATAGACCAATGTCCATGAATGTTGATAAATGTCCATATACACCTAACTTTTTAACAATTGTGCAATACAATACAATCCATATCAAATTACTGCAGGCCCTTTCTCTCAAAACTATTTGTTTCTATCACTACTATTCTCCATGCATGTATGTTTGGCCTCTGTCACATGTTGATACCAGCTTTTTCAGGGTGAAAAGAGCCCGTCACTCAGCCAATCAGCTCTCTGCCCAAAGCGTTAAACCATGACTCACAGGGATATTTGTTTCAAGTGTTCAAAAGAGGAAATATTCTCTAACAAGATAAAGACAGTCTGCTTTGTTCAGACATTACTCTTTTTGTCAAACATACCACAAGCTGTGGTACCAGGTACCACAGCTTTAACTATTGATATTATTCTTGATCTAATGTAGCCTGAAGTATCAGCATACAGTATGTCACTGCTTATATGTGAATTAATGTAAACTAGACGGACACGACTGTATGTATTTTAGAGATTATTATGGACCTCTGAGTAATTTGTATGCAACACTGGAACAGGGATTGATTATTTTTGACTTGAATTGACTTCATGTTTTAGATCATTATCAGATCTTTCTGCTTTTATGCTACAGTTGGCGATCGTTGTGGAGCCGCTCACACCAGCACAGCGCCGGCACAGGTACGACTTACTAATAACCAAATTGCACAACGACCACTTTTTCCATTACATCAGGATTAATGCCAGGTGCTGCAACGGGAAACCATGTGTTCCAATTCTCCTGGGATTATTACCATCAGGATCTGATCTGACTCTTGATAAGAACGTTCATTTGTTTCATTACAAATCTAATGTAATCTAAGTCTTATGAAATCTAAAATGAGAAAATCTGTGTTTATCTGCAACTACTGACAATCTGACATTCAAAATAAACATATAAAGCTAAGCTTTAAAACAGGATCTGTCCATCCAAAGAGTGTACATGACCGAAACAAAGTACCGTAACCAAAAATAAAGACTGATTACCTGGGTGACAAGAAGTTCCAAACTTTGGCCACATGAACACAATGTACATGCTCAGTCCAACATACTACTTTTCACCCATTAATACTTTATATGAAATATATATAATAAAAATATATAATATTTATTTATATAATATATATTATTCATAGATATGATACATGAAACATGTCCTTTTTGTCTTGTAAAGTGCAGTGGCCTGAACTCTTCTGATAGGGTTGTTTTCTTCGCCAGGTTCCAGCAGCAGATGTGTTCAGACCATGCAGCTGTGCAGAGACCCTGGACCCGCTCAGGCTTCTCCTCTCTACAGGACACTGTGAGGGGCCTGCTGCCCTACCACAGCTGCGCCGGACCCATTCCCACCCAGGAACACTTCAACATGGGTCTGTGCACTTCCACAAAGATGATTTATCTACTGTAAACAATACTAAGAGAATTAGTAATGATTTTAATCTTGGCACCGCAGTTGACGAGGAGTTTGACACTGTGTCTGGATTCCTTCTGAAGCGGACCAAGGACATGGTCAACAAGTACAGGCAGCTCCTGCTCAGAGAAGCCCTGGTAGGTCTGATTGTGCGTGTGCGTGTGTGTGTGAGTCCATGAACTGTGGTGTGTGCCCACAGCAGGACATTCCGTCAGCGGAGATGGTGATGCTGGAGAGACTTTTCCTTCAAGCCGAGCGCTTCACTTTGGCAGAGGACCGACGGAGGACGTGCAGAGAGCCAGGTCAGGAAAACCAGTGCACTCTTGGATAAACCCCACATTTATAATCTTTATTACACAAAAATGTGTGAATTGGTTCAAATGTTTCACACAGATGTGTGTGTTTTCAGAGTCTGTGATGACAGCTTCAGCCTCAGCTGCCTCTTCCCCAGACGATGCACCTCCGTCGGGCCAGTCTCATCCGCCTCCCTCGCCTCCCTCGCCTCCCTCACCTCCCTCACCCACCTCCCCACCTTCATCCCCTCCCCCCCAGTCCTCCACCAGCGACAGTCCTCCCTCGCCCCCTTCGTGGACCAGACTTTCAGACCGCCCCCCTGGTCTCCGGACGTATCGTTCGAGTACCCGCGGTGGGCTGCGTCTCACCATCAAACACGAGTCCGGATCCAGGAAAGTGGTCCACAACTCGGCCTGTGACCCTGGACTGAAAAGAAACCATTCGGGGCAATTGACCAATGGGAGCGGGCGTCACTTTCAGACCCCAGACAAAGCACTGCAACCCGTATCCAATGGGAAACTTTCCACGGAGCAAGTCCCGCCTTCTGACTTTAAAATAAAAGCCCCTATAAAAGACAACAGAGAAGTAAGCGCTCCTAAATTAAAATGTTTCCGCTTGGACCCAGCACTGGACCGTCCCGCGGCGATACAAGAGGACAACATGCTTAGTGAACACCTTCAGAGTGCTATCGACAGCATTTTGGAGCTACAGCGGCTTCAAGGCCCGTCCACGGCCCAAAGTAGGGCTTCCTCCACCCCTGCACTCGACCAAGCAGTGGCCAGCATTTTGGAGGGCCATCTCTGAACCGGACCACTTTAAAAAAGGTGTGAAAAAACAAAGGCACTAGAGACGCAGACAACAGCACTATCCTTAGCCGCATAGTTGTTAGATACTTTTTTTGACGTGCGTTTGTGGACAACAAAAAAAGTCTATGAATAGGAAATCTATTGTTTCAGTGGTAGTAAAGTCATCTGGAGGTTTTACAACACAACGTCATCAGCAAATAGTATATAAGTAATAGCGCGGATCAAGTGGAGTAGAGATTATTCAATAGTTTTTTATAAGATTTCTTTCCAAATGTGCGTTTTTTCCTCCTTTTGCATAGTGCCAAGCTTCCAGGGTATTTATTTTGATAATCTGTGCCAATTTTTTGATGGTGAATGTGAATGTGTGTGAAGGAAAAGATGGAAGAGTGCTTATTTGAATTGTCGCATCCTGTTTTGGGAGCACAGTACCACATACCCCCTAATGCGGCGCGGTCCGGTGGTGTTCAGAGGACGGGTCAGTTTATAGACTTCTTTTATTCTGTTTAATCAGTGGTTCTTACCTGGAGCGGGGCCAGAACTTCCCATCGACATATAACAAGTCACAACCAAAACTATAACTGAATTTAGTTTGTAAATAATGACAAAAAACAGTATATTTTTTTCATTTATTAAAAGAATTTGATGATAAACAAAGATAAAATTATGAACAGATTAGCCTCAACCAACTCTGGTATCAAATACTTTTTTCATCTGGAAAAAAAATAGTCTTTGAAGTTGTTTTTCTTAAAAAAAGAAAAAAATAATATTGTTCTTTTTTCTTAAATATTCAGAGTATTTAGACGTTGGTTTTATTAGAATTTATTATAATACATGACACGTTACTTTTAAAATTAAGGGCAATTTTAAAAAATATTTAAAAAATGTTTTGGCAGTGAACATATTTTTATTTTTATTATTTTTTAATTTTTGGAAAATAGGTTGTTAAATCTTGCAGAGTAAATTCTTGCTAACCGCTAAACATTTTCCCGCGACCCTCTTTTGGCTCCCGACCCACCAGTTAGGAACCATTGCTTTAAATCACAGTATTACGGAAGGAAGAATTACAGAAAGATCAGTTTTTTTTAGGGAGTACATAATAATAATAATAATAATAAAAGGTGAAAAATTAAATCCAAATCATGGAGGAAAGATTTGCAATAGTTTTGGCTTCGGCCTCTGAGCACCACCTGTACTCTGCATTAGTAATTACTTCGGCTTGATGAATGATACTCCAAAGATAATGTGACTTATTTCATCCTGACTACACCAGCAAATCTCGCGTCGTCTCTTCCCCAAAACGTGTCGAACCAGATCAAAGGAATAATAACAGTGTATGTCTTTTAGATGGTTTAATCACTGCATCCTCGTCTGTTAACGGTTCTGTTCTGTGTGTAAGCAATAATACTGTATGTCAGTGAGACGGAGGGGTGAAGGGTAGCTCGGTATATCGCTCGGTATATCCACTCAAAGCACTTGTTGAAGAAAGCCTAAATGTAGTGATTTTAATGGACTGGGTGTCATGAAACTAAAAGAGCCACTAATGTGCATTTCCAAAACTTAATATTGGAGCTTGGGGACTTTTCTGGAGGAAGATTTGTGTTAAGATATCCGCCTGATTAACCTGTAAATCCTTTGTGAGTGCTACTAGTTTCAGTCAATCTTAAGGAAGTATGGCAAGTATAGAACTGCTACCAAAAAGATATACATTATTTTTGGTGAGGCCCGAATTTAAAAACCCTCAAAATCGGAAACTTTGCCTTCAGTATTCTCCAAAATCAGAAAGATATTATATGAATGAATTGATATGTTATTGTGTTCTAATTGGGTGTGATCATGTGACATCACACAATTCCTATGAGCCTATAGTTAAACATTGTGGTGGAGGGCAGTTGAAAATATTTTCCTGGTAACTATGGTAACTTCTTTATGTTTAAGGTTTGCAATTTTGTCTTAATAAAAGAACCTAAACTAAAGTTTAGCAATTCCCAGGCTAATTCAGATAAAAATATTGAAGTTCCAAATCTTCTTTGTAAGTACGTATTAACCCTGATCTAATTAACTATTTGATGTGGTGTGTAAATACTTAATGATAATGATATTGGCTAGACATAAGAATAATAAGGTGGGTTTTTGAATCAAATCTGGGAAAACATTGTCATTTTCAAAAGTTTTCAGAAATTGTTGCTCTCCCACAGCGCTGTATCGGCACCTGCCCTCTAACAGAATTCTACAACATAGAGCCCACATATTGTATAGCATAGCATTATTATTTTCAAAATGCGTCATAATTTTCAAAAGCAGGTCTCTTCAGTCCCACAGTGTTTAGGCCTCTGAACCCTCCATCTCCATGTAAAGGATCATGCTCAATTCCTTAAAAATCTTCTTTATACTGTAAGCACATTAGGAGCTCTTTTAGCGACCATACCCCGCGTCCATTTCGATAAACACCAAAACATAATTTTATTTTGTTTTATGTGATGCGCCTCTTCAGCATCAAAAAGCCTTGACCAAAAACTGAAGGAAGTTTAATTTATGGGTAGCCACTAGCTACAGTCACTTACCACGCTACTTTTTCTGATTCATTTTCAAACGTGACAATCTTTTAGTTGATGTAAAGTTCATATCATTTGAAACACGTCTCCCATTAACTGTCAAACATTTAAAGGGATAGTTCAGTGTTTAGGTTAAAGCACTTAATGAATACACAGCATTATCCGACCAATTTGTGCCCTCTCCCCTTTGCACATATGAGCAGACCACATTTCAGTCGTTTTGAACATTTGTCAAAAAGTTGGATTCCTCTAATTACAATTTTCAATATGTTTTATTATTGGCTGTATCTTTCAGTGCCATACTTATAAAACAAACTGCCTTTAAAAAAAACGAATTTGGTAAAGTGCAAATTTGAAGCCGTTTTTTTGCAAATTAACTATTGATGTAAAAAATCATGATAAAACTATTGGCAGATTGATACATTATGTCAAAAGTCTACATTTTTTAAACAAATTTCATTGAAAGACCCGTATATGAAAGTAAAAATCCACTCCTTTAAACATAAATTACATGATGTTCAAAATTACAAATTAAATTATGCAACAAGAATGATTACGACGTAGAAGCCAATAGCAAATTTTGTGTGACTAAAATGATTGAATATGCCTTATAGTGACCCAGTCCCTTTAAAAGTAAATGGGATTTACACAAATGATATGTACATTTAACCAGAGCATTAGGTTAGAGTAAACAGGCCTTCTTATGTGTTGCAATGCATTATGTTTCCAATGTGAAAATGTCTTTGGTTGGAATGAAGACGTTGAATATGCAGTAATGTTGTGCCAGGACCTCTGTAGTGGTCATGGGCGGACGTGGAGTTTAAATACAGGATTTAAAACTACATCCAGTGTAGTACGTGAACCTGAAGTACTCCGAGGTCTACGTGTCTTAAAGAGGTCACAGAAATGCAGTAAAGATGTCAGTGTCACTTCTACAAGGGACAACTTTTGGATTTATGGAAGTGTTAGTAAAAGTTAGAAAATCAGATCTGAATTGAACAACTCTTTGGTACCGTTCTTAAAATATTTCTTTGTTTCTGGGTTGTCCCAACATGCTCCTTGTCAAGATTGAGGCACAAGAAGGTACTCCAGGTACTGTACCAATGACCCATGCAAACAGACTTCATGGATACATTTATACCAGCCTAACGCAAACACTTAAAGTGAATCGAAGTATGTTAGATTTCATCCACTACTGTATTTGTTTTATTCTCCAGAGTCTTAAAGACTGAGGTCCAGCTGTCTCCTGTAGCGCAGGCCTCATGTGCCCTTGTTATTGTCCAAGTGTTGAACACGGCAAAGGACAAAGCGATTGTTACATCTACATGTTGAGCCATTTATTTATGTATTTATTATTTTTCATGTGTTACTGAATGAACTGTGAAACCAGGGGAGCTCACACTAATTTCAAATCTTTGACTGACAGATTGTTCGATGCCAAAATCAAGAGGCCTTAATCCAGCAGAACTAGATTGTAATAAAAATAATGTCATTCCTGACAAGAACCCGACTTAAGACTCCTGCAGTCACCAGTAATTCATACAGTATATGAAATGTAAGAAACCGTTTTTGTACTCATTTTTACAGACTATTTATTAAACTGTGATTTTGTAAGAAATAAAAACTAAAAATAACGGATTCTTTGCATTCTATTTTCAGTGTATCAAGCCTTTAGGGCAGAGTTTGCGCCAATCAAACTCAGGCTCCTTTGTTCAACTCAGAACGTGATGGAAATTCTAAAATCAATAAATTTCAGAGCAGGTTCGTCATTAGCAGCATCAAAAAACCTCGCCTGACTCGCCTCGTTACAAACACAAAGTCAACTCCAGTGAAGTGACAGGAATTTATGACCAGAAAATCAATGACTTCTGCCCAGGATTATATCAAACATCACTTTATTATTTATTTTCAATTCATTCATTTAGAAACAAAACCGCTCCAGTCAATCTACAAATGAAGACAGGGCAGTGGTTCACAGTAGCACTAACGATGACAAATGCATGAGCCCGGCAAATTTAATTAAATAAATTAGCATCTTAAATATTGAAATTACAGATTGTGTTTTCATTATTAAGAAAAAGCAGTAAGTCAACAATTCATTGATTATACTCCCACCAGTTACGGGGTTTAAGAGGCACATTAAAACATGCACCATTTGGATTGTCCCATAACAGACGGGGTACGTATGGAGAGTGAGACATACAGCTTCATAGTCTCCCTGTTGTAGAACTCTTTGGACGACATAAAACATTAGCTAAATACACATCTTTTAGTGGAATAGGGCAAAGACTGTATCAAGTCGTCCAAAAGGCAATTTCAAAACCATCTCTGCAGACTTAGAGATGGTTTGACCTGTGTGCAGCCCAAGATTTTATATCTTGGGCTGCACACAGGTCCAGAAATTCATTTAAGGGGAAAGGGGGAGTCCTTGCGGGCAGCAGCTCTTTAAAAAAAGGCAGTATTAAATAACATCAAATACTTTTTATAAATTATTTTTTGTTCGCATAAAAAGTGCCAAAGAGTTCTTGAAATTTGACACAGATTGTAGTCCATTTAAAGCGCAGGCTGAGAGTCCGTGCAGCCCTGGGCTCGCCCCTGGGCTCGCCCCTGGGCTCGCTCCTGGGCTCGCTCCTGGGCTCGCTCCTGGGCTCGCTCCTGGGCTCGCTCCTGGGCTCAGTTGAGTTTGATGGGGAGGTCTGCTCCGTACTTGCGCAGGAACTTGTTGTGGTTGTGGTCCACTGACCAGAGCGGCGGCAGGTGTTTAGGCCTCATGCTGCTGAGGAAGTGTTGCCTCCAGCGCCGCTCCAACTCCATCAGTCCCTCCAGACCCCGCTCCGCCTGAGCCCGGACCACCTTTAGCCCATGGGGGATGTACGATTCGTTAAAGATCCTGCAGAGACAACGCAGAGGAGACTAAGAACTGTTCAAATCACCGCTAGTTTACGACATTAGAGGACGGGGAGATGTTTACCTCATCACTTTGATTAGAAAAAGATTTAAAGCAACATCACAATCACTGCATCAGCCCCTATACTCTTAACAAAGATATTCTACTTTTTACCACAAGTTGAGCAATTCGACCGTTAGGAAAATATGATGCATCATACTCAAGATTTTTACAATATGCTGTAATTACAGACTTACAGCCTACTCTATTTTTCATTTCACTTTTACTATTTGGACAAGACATAACACAAAGCAGCCAGACAGATTCCCTGACACAGCAAGATGTTGGGCTGACCTGGTCTCCAGACTGGCGGCCTGGTTCACAGTCTCAGGCGTCAGTGCTTCATCCAGGTTCATGTTCAGGTAGTTCTTGATCATCTCCTCCAGCTCTTTCCTCCTGGACTCTGGCAGACTATCTCCAGCGCTGAGGAGAGCCCGAGCAGCCGACCTGACCTTGCGGCGGTCCGTGTCCTCGTGAAGCCGGACCCCCTCCTCGCAGCCCTGAGGAGCTGAGAACTCATCGGCCAACTCCTGCTTCAGGAAGCCGTCATGCACGTTTGAGGCTGCATGGCAGCTGGTGCACAGCAGCAGGATGTCATGGGAGTTATGGTCCTTCATCTCCGTGGGGAAGTGGCGCCGGTATTCGTGTGGAACTATGTTCTTTCTGAAAAGGACCACAAGGGGGCGCCGCAGTGAGTCGACCCCATAGTAAATTGGCAAAATGTATCTATATAAATGATAAATATAAACAGGACTAGAATTTGAAACACAGCAAGACCGCACCTTATATACAACTCAAATATTCTACAAATGTCCAACTTATTTTGTTAGAAATGCATTTAAACAGCTCCAATAAAACTATAGAAATAGTCAACTCTTAAACTGGCATTGATCTTATCCCGAATATGAAATGATCAAAGAAGATGGCATGTGTCTTTTTAATTACTTTTCAAGACAATTTTTTTGGGGAGTATGGAAGCCCGTTTCCGCCATGTAAAAAAAAAAAAAAAAGCATACAAAGTCAAAATTTCGACTTTAAAAGTCAAAATTACGAGTTTTCAACTGCGCATGTGCAGGACCTCACGGTATGTGTTGTTGTCTGGAACGGTCTCTGGAAACCCTTCACCTCCAGATTATGTGAAGATATTGTCTACAGTGACCACTGCATCCTTGAAGTAGCCAGAAATAATGTTTTTTGATTGATTCTGTAAAACTTTCCTGTTTAAGCCCCAGACCGCGGTCGTAGGACGCAGGGGGGAGCTGTCTTTTTATTTATTTATGTTAAATTCAATTTACATATATACAACATTTAAATCAAACGACTTCTTATTTCGACATAGTAACAAATAATGTGAGCAATATGTTTTTATAATAAATCAAAGGAAAATGAGCCATCGAGACATTCCAATCCAATCTGCTGTAGACCACTCTGACCAGACGATGGCGCTGAGAGGGGTCCACACGGAGCGAGTGTTTCCACGGCTGAAAGGATGCGCTTTCTACGTGTTGAGTACGGGGTTTTATTCATGCATCTATAATGGGTTTAACTCCCTTTTCAAAGACCCTCACTGTTATCTGCGGAGTTATTTCTCCGGATTGTTGCTTAAAGAGTCGTGGGCTTTATTTTGTCACAATAAAATAATCAGACAAGGAACTTATTCCCTGTATGTCTCTGTGTTCTTGCTCATACGCCAACAACTTTACCCCCGCGTGCACGCAAACACGTCACATACTCTTCAATGCACTGATCGCAATTCCAAAAGGGTAATATTGTCAGTGCCCGTGACTGTGGTTCTCCTGCCTCTGTCTGTGGTTTACCTGCCTCTGTCTGTGGTTCTCCTGCCTCTGTCTGCGGTTCTCCTGCCTCTGTCTGCGGTTCTCCTGCCTCTGTCTGCGGTTCTCCTGCCTCTGTCTGCGGTTCTCCTGCCTCTGTCTGTGGTTCTCCTGCCTCTGTCTGCGGACCTCCCTCACTGTCCTGTAATCGCGAACGGTCTCTCTGTCAGTCACAATAATATTCACTGCATTTCTGGTGCATCCATCGATAGCCGTGATACTGACCAGATGTCACCAGTTGATGCTCAATGACTTTGACCAGCCGCATGTGTTTTATTATTAATCTTCCACAGTCCGTTTAGGATAAACTAAATAGAGGCTTCTGAAGCGGATTCTAATCATAAACGGAGAGACCGTTTGCATTTTAACGCGATTACTACCACAACATTATTGCTGCTACTTCATGGATGTGGTCACTGTCTGTAGGAAAAATCTTCACATAATCTGCAGGTAGAGGATGACCCATGGTCATGGATCTATAACAGGGATGACCAGAGACCGTTCCAGACAACAACACATACGAGTTTTCAACTGCACATGCGCAGTTGAAAACTCGTAATTTTGACTTTTAAAGTCGAAATTTTGAGTTTTAAAGTCGAAATTTTGACTTTCTGTAGGCTTTTTTTTTTTTTTTTTACATGGCGGAAACGGGCTTCCATAGGGGAGGAATGTATAAATAAAACATAATAAAAAAGGAGTAAACAGCCTGCAGCCTCACCTAATGTAAGAGTCTGCTTTCCCACAGACCACACAGAGGTTCTCCTTCGCAGTGAGGTAGTAGTCCTGTTGGGAGTCCGGACGTCCCGACGGTTCAAAAAGCAGCCTCACTATGAAGGGGTTTTCACTCACCAGCGCTAAAGCAGAGACACAAGCCATGTAACAACAATACAGCAGAGAAAAGGTGCCGTCATTCCTGAGCCTACCTCCAATCCCCTTGTCCAGGTACCACTTTGCCTTCTTCTTGTCGCAGGTGCAGAGTGGCTGTCCATCCGGCGCGTGCAGAAAACAGTTATCATACAAAGGAGTCTTCCTGCAGTCCCAAAAAAACAAAAACAAAAACAACAAAAATCAGCAAAAATATCTTATTCAACATTCATTCACGCCAACATATCGTGTGTGAATACCTGGCGGAGTAGCCTACACCCAGCGGTTTCCTCTTGTTATTACGTCGAGGGTCTGGGACTTGTTGATCTCCAGACTCTGGGCTAATGTAGGCCACGGTTTTGCGGATGGTTTTACGTTTGCGCTCTCCGTCGACGGGCTTGTCTTCCCCGTCACCTCGGCCTCTGAAGGGGACATCCAGCAGGCCTTGACAGCGGGATACCAGCTCTGCATAAGAGCTCCCACTGGGCGAGACGGCGCCACCATCAGACTGATAGCCGAGCAGACAGAAGAAGAGCGCCACGGACACCTGGGCGTCTCTGGCTGCGTAACCCACCTGAGAGGAGAGCGCGTCCAGACGTTCATACAGTCTTTGGCCAACAAAAGATTTCTAAAAGTGAAGACTCACCTGCTCCGGTGTGAGGCGGTTTGCTTCCCAGTCGCTGCAGCGAAGCTCTAGAGACTTGTCTAGAGTTACGTCCAATAGATCTGCAGCCAACGACTTCAGGCTCAGGCCGTTGTTCACTGTAGCCTTCCTGACAGTCCACACAAAAGCATCTTAGAACTTTAGTATCCATCAGCTGCGTTCCATTATGAGCCGAGATATTAGTTTAATTTTTTTGTTCACGTCAATTTAGTTACTTCTAATTCAACCCTCCCCTCCCATATTTTGGCCTATTGTATTTGAGCTTTCAACCATGTCACATCATTGTTCCCTCATTAAAGACAGACAAAAGTATTGTCCATCAACTAGTGGCAGTGTTTACAGTCATGATATTTCAATTAGAAAAACAAATCAAATGTTTAGTTTTAGGCAGAATATAATCATTTACACTTGATACTCGTTTCACTATTTTCTATCAAAACAAAAACATAAAAGACCAAATTAATAGTCAAAGGCTGTGTTCACACCGCGATGCATGGACGCACATTCACCAAATATCAGCGGCATGAGCATCGGCGAAGACGTTAGCTGCACTTGTTTACAGTCACAGTGGAATGTCAACGCAAGGTGAAGACTTATGTTCACAAGCGCAGTGTCCCCCATTGTCAGCCCTGGTTTAATCCTGGTTTAGCTCATGTTTTGGTTGTTTTTGAGTGTCTTCATTTTCCTGTTTGGACCGGCATATGTCCCCGTAGCACTTTGCTGTTTGGTTGCTGCACGCGTTTGGAGCGAGGATGTTCAGCTCTTGCTTTTGCTGCATGCATCTAGCCACCGTACTCACTTACGCAGGTGCTCTTCATGTGCTTGTTTCTGGTTGATTTAGTCAAAGTATTAAATCCTCTGTTTGTTCGATAGACATTGTAATAATTTGGTTTGGCGGTTGTGAAGGATCGGTTCCTATAATGTACTGATATCATGTATCAGTATTTAGAAGCCAATGTCCAACAATAGAGTGTACTAAAAAAAGGTACAATTCTAATTGCTTAGAACATAAAGAAAAATAAAAACATACTTCTGTCTCAAAGCGAGGAAGCGCAGATCAACTGCACACGACAAGGCCAGGCCGTAGTCTCGTGTTAGCCGCTGGCCGTCTTCATAGCAGCCCACTCCCACTTTGAGGATGTGGGGGTCCCGCAGCACCTGCATGAGGCTGGAGGGAAACGACTGCTGAAACTGGAGCAGCTGCACGAGGATACAACGACCAGTGTACGACGCCATCTGCAGGAGGGACACGGCCGAAGCTTTGCCCTTCACAGAAACCTGTAACAAATACAACACATGGCTCTGTCCAAGGAACTCAGAAATATGCCTAGTAGATTTTAGAAAGGAAAAATCCAACCTGAATTTTGTTGTATTCTTTTTTTGAATTTGCCAATTTATTATTAGGAGATAATATTCACTATAAACTGATCTTTTTCAAATTTCTGCATATGCAACTAAGCCAGTCATGATCTGTGCAGGTTTCATTGTTTGCCACTAAAGAAGACATCTGGCTCCTCCCATCTGGGGCCAGGATTCTAGACCCTGTTAAATCATAAGTCAATATATACATCCAAAATATAAAACTGCTATAAATACATTTGAGGCAGTATATTAATTTTGAAACAATTTACAAGAGTTTAGTTGTTGGGGTAAAAATTACCGATCACGGCTCAATTCAAACATTTTTTTTTTCTCATAAAAACCAAGTTATTGCATAAACCTTTGTAGGAAGATCCATAATTGTTCAATTTCATAACACGTCATCGTGACAGGCTTGCATGCAACATTAGAGATTGAATATTCAAAAGGTTGTCATGGGTGAGTTTTTCCTTGGAGTTAGATTCATGCAGGGTTAGTGCTTACGCCGTTGGTCTTTACCCATTCACAGTCCAGTCCCAACACAGGGAAGTCTGACAGCTCCTTCTGGAGGAGGGGCCACAGCAGCTCCCACTCCTGCTCAGAGCTCACAGTGACAGGGCTCACGCACAGAGTCTGTTCACACGATGGTAACAATACGACAGAGGCCTCCACTGCTTTCACCTCCTCCTCTACACATGTGGTAGATTTCTTCAGCTCCACAGGGGTAAGGTCTTCTGCAGAGGCGAGGGGCAGCGTCACAGGTTCTGCTGCCTTGTGGTTGGAAGGCAGCCTCCTTCTCCTACTGCGGTAAATCCTCCAGGCCAGCAGCCCTCCTAAAGTGACCCCCAGGACTGTGGTCATAACTGCAGTCAGGGGCCCCCGGTGAGACATGGCGGCTACTGTTGAGGACTGTCCGCAGAGTACAAAAGTGCTACCAACGGAAAGAAATAATTAAAAACGTATGACTTTGTTTTGATTGTACATTTATTTATTTTTTTGGCTGTACCTTTAGTGTGACTAAAAGCAAATGAAACTTTACTTGATTTGCAGCTTGGACAATAACAGCATTTCCCTGAAAGGATAAGTGGAATAAAAGGCAATGAAAAGACAATGAGTGCAATCACCCAATTATGTCCGGAAATCAGGTTTTAAAAAAAAACCAATATATTATACATTACCATTATGAATAAAATGTAGATTATATACATATCATGCTCACACCATTCATAAAAGGAGGGTGACATTTACTTTTGAAGTTTACATTAGTATAAAAATGCCCATTCTTAAAAATGAAATACACTTGACATTAAGCTTGTGTAAACTCTCAAGGATTATTCAAAACAAAGACAGGTTGCTCACCCATCAACAAGTAATATCGAGATTTAACATTGGAACATAATGTCTCTGTCCGTTGTACTTAATGACCTTTTCGGGTGTGACATTTAGAAATATACATTTCTTCTCCTCCTGGTGATGGGACATGATTAACTTAGTGTTAATTATGAAAACAGTGGCCCAAGATAAAATGGCATCACTTTTGTAGCTGCCATATACATACAAACGAGGTCTGAAGGGGTTTGATATTTCAACCTTGCCTGAAGTAACTGAAAAATGTTAACATCCATCTTGATTTAATTCACTTTTTAGTTTGTAATGCATAGGTTGTTATAAGGGTTCTTCCCTGGTGTTAATGCAGTTGTATTTAGCCGCATTAGCAGCCAGTTCAGCGGCTACAGCAGCAGAGGTATACGGTCTACAGAGGACGGTGGCTCTGGACAGCAAACTGTTATCTTTTCCTCATGTGTAGAAGTGCATTTGTGCTCTTACCTTTGCGTGATTATCCAAAGCCACACCGCTTCATCGCTCCGTCTGTGATGTCTGTGCGTGCAGCCTGCGCCATGTCTTCCGCCCTGTATTTATAACAGCGTCAGCACCCGGCGTCAGGCGCCCTCTGGTGGACGGAGGCCGCTATTTTTCTAATAACAACGCAGTACACAATAAACTAAAAACATTCTGATGCACGTCTACTTTTAACCCTTTCATGAATGAATTATGATAGGTTTCTTCAAGATTTTTTCCCACAGTGCTTTAATTACTCTTGAGGCATGAAAAGATAGAACATATTTTCATTTTGAAAAAACATGAATTCTCCATGGAGTTGGTGACACGTCCAACACCATAGGACATTTTGATTTTATCTTTAGCATTGTATTTTTCTTATTTTAACACATTCCAAAACTAAAATGTGTTGTCTGAAACATTAACCAAAGAAAAACACATTTGTTGAACTGACTAAATGACTTAAATACTATAATGAACTTGGCTGGTACTAATCAGCATAGAACTGAGACAAGACTTTCACATTTGCATGGGCCTGTACATCTTAGATATTTGAGTATGACATGGCCAAATGAATCCTCAGAAAGTTAATCAGTTCACCCAGTGCAATGCCCAGTCGTTATTTTCCATTTTGCAAAGCATGGAGGTCTGAGTTGACCATTATATCATTAATCAGCTCATTCGTAATTTGATGAATGAAGAAATCTATTGGGGCTCCTCCCTCAATCTTCACCTACAACTCTCCTAAAAAGTAAAGAGTAAATTGTCCCTCAAATGTATTATCTTTGGCTTTGCAGACTTGTCTGCTATCTATATTTTAGTGTTTTTGAGCTTGGTCAAGTCGGACAGCACCATCTCCCTCAGCCTCATCATTCACCTCAAATTCCTCAGCATCTTCTCCTTCTACATCTTCAACTTCACTGTCACAGCTGTTATAATTTACTAATTGTCTTTGTCTGGTACCATTCTTCATCATTCCCACAAACATCACCCTCACTTGAGTTAGATGGCAATTCCTGGACTATCCTGTAGGCTTTTCTATTCTGCTCTGACCACTACAAAACACATGGAAAAGGATCATTATTCTCATGATATGCCAAATATTCACAAGATATAATATATACCAAATAATGAAATTAATTTGCAGTCAAAACTGTATTGAAAATGAAGTTTTTCCAGAAACACTAAAGTTGCAGCAACACTATACATTGTAATCAAAATATAGCCAGTGATGCACAACGTCCACTTTAGTGGACACGTGATTCATTGCAATTTCCTCAAAACACAAAATCAGTACTTGGGGTTTTCAACAATTATACGGCTCCTTAGATGTTACTTGACATCCACATATTTTTTTTACCTGCTAAACCTTCCTAGAATATAATGTATGAACAGATTTTCCTCCTTCACTAAGCACATTTTCTCTTTTGTCGGCCATTTTTTTGAGAGATTTTTTTTTACATTTGTATGTTTACCAGAATGTAGCAGTGGATATGGGAAGACACACTAGGTTCCGTCCACTATAGTGAAAAAAGTGCAACTGTGACTTTAAAACTCACACACATGGAAGAAAACAACTATTGAATAGCTGTCCACTGTAGTGACCACTATGCATGAAAGGGTTAAGACACGGTTTAAACTTTACTACAATATACTTGATTTACAGACTGTCTACATTCAATAGACTCATAATTTACTCTGCCCCACGTTCATTAAATGGGTAAAAATAGTAAGAAGAAATCGGAACATGTACTTAATAGAATACTGCATACATTGGAAAAGCCCATGGACATCAACAATATCCACCAACAATACCTGTGAACCGAACTTCGGTTAAATGTTTAGACTTGATCATGGAAATTCTGGGTTTTAGGCACCTACGGCACCTTACAGCAACTATTCAGTGTTGATGCTCCAAACTTAGTGGCGTTGTTTTTTGTGAGAATGACAGGGCACAATTTTAGACATTGGTTACCTCGATTTCCTACATCCATACTCTTATATCTGAGGACTGCTAGTGTGATTTTGGGATATAAAAAAAAAACAATTGTGACAATGGCAATCTTGAATCTATCTGTAAAACTATTTTTTTAATTGTAAAATTGTCTTTCAAGGTAAGCTGTGGCTACAGTAGCAGTTGATCATCACTTTGTGCACAGTGAATGAATGCCAATGTCTGAGCAATGTATTATTGTCACATCTTTTGGACAACATTTGAGAAAGAAGAACTGCACATATACCTAGCAAAATAAGTTTACAGTAATAGATACATATTGTATCTATTACTATGTATTAGATACATAGTAGGTATGTTAGCTGAAGTTAAATGCAACAACAAAAACAACTCACAATTCTCTACCACCATCAGTTTATTCAATCTGTTTTCAATAGATCTCCAAAGAAGTGGAATAAAGTAATGACATAATTACAAAATGGAAAAATAGATCAGCAAATAGGTCATATTCACAAGCTTGATTAAAAAAATAAAAATAAAATAAAACCAGTAAATGAGAAGATGTGTTTTATGGATGTCCTTGTAGCTTCTGGGGGATTTTCCCACAAACAACTACTTACATCCAGGCAAGGTCAAATGATCTCTTTTAGAGCTTGTGCAAAATAAAACATTCAGCTACTTTAAAAACATCTGAAAAGGAAGAGAGTAAAAGGTTAAGTAGTGATTTTTACTAAAACAGGTAAATGAGGCCACCAGTCGGGCTCCGCCACCATCACTAGGTCCACACGATTGTTGCTGCAACAAAACCCTATTTACAGAAATGCTCCACACCCAATCACAGGATGCAGCAGATGAGCAACTTCTCAACTTACGATAAAAAAAAAAAAAAAACAGGAAAAACAAAAGTAAAGCAGCTGTCCCTTCACAAAAATCTCTTTACATCACATTAAAAATTAGCACTGCTGTGAGCTGTGTACAGTATAGATTCTTTATAGATATATATTTATATTTATGTATAATATAAACTGTCTTTTGCATACACACATAAACTTCTCATTGTAGCTAGCCTGCGCCTTTGGCAAGATTACTTACAACTCTTCTGTTAGATTTCAAAGCTATTTAAAATATATTTAATGCATAAAAATAAACCTTTTGGCATTGTCTCACTATTCATCTGATTGCAACGTATTTTTCTTTTTTCTTTTTCAGAGTCCCTGACGTCTCGGTGCTGCCGTCTTTATGAGGGAAGTCTCGTCATTAGTCCCACGAGCAGAGTCCGAGCAAAGGCAGCGGATGGGGTGATTATAGTCCACACAAATCTAGCGACTGAGCTCCACAGCACAAACAGAACATGAAAAGATGATGTATATGAACCACGAGGGACGCTGTGTTTTTTTTTTACAACAGCCGTTCTCTTCAGTCTGTTGGGATTTCTCTTGTATTTCATACGTTTTTGCTGCTTTAGCTTGTCCGCTGGATAAGAGGGACCACATTCACCTCCCCATACATGAAGTCACTTAAAATCAATTCATATAGTGCTGTTCAGTCCACACCCAGTATCCTCAGAGCTGGATCTCAAATGTTTTATGAAGCTCGGTGGAAAAGGGGTTTGTAGGAGAAGGGGAAGTGCGCTGACGTGACCTGCTCTCTAGCGCCGCCCACTGAGCCTCAAAGGCATCTTCCTGCGGCGCTTCGGCGGGCTGGATCACAGGGGAAGAATGGGGGATTTGACTTTGATTTGCCCAGTTCTCTGCTCCATTGAATGTGACGCTGCCGTTAGAAGGTTGTGGTGCAATTATAACAGACGGTGGAGGCTTGATGAATGGGCTGATGTTGGGGGTATTCATCACCGGGATGTCCTGTGGAGGAATGACAGGTGCTGGGAACGATTGTGTTTGTGTGGCTGAACCAAAAACGTTTGCCACCATTTGCGAAGGGGTGATGCCCACAACAGGAACGCTGGGCTGGGGGAAGGACAGGCCGTTGGAGATGGGGTAAGGGGCAGGAGCAGGGGTGTTGAAAACCGGTTGGCGAGGGGGTATCATAGGGACGGGAGGGGGCAGAGAGGGCATGAACGCAACAGGAGCGGTGGGAGCGAGTGGCATCGGGACAGCCGCAATGAAGGGCTGAGCGGGAGGGGGAGGTGCAGAGGACATGAGGGGGTTGGGCTGCGGGCCAGGGGGCAGAGGGGCTTGGACAGATCTGGTGACTTCATCCAACCATCGGTCGGCCTCCGACGGAGTGCGTCTGTGGGACGCCAAGACAGGAGAGGCCGAAGGGGGCCCCACTAAGACTGGAGCAGGGGACGCCCAGTCTGCAGCACCTGCCAGAGACGAGAAGGTAAGGAGGCAATAAACACTAAAAACACAAGTTGCAGAATAAAAAAAAATAAAAAAAAATAAATCCCAGCTGCAAACACAGCAATGTGATTGAAAAGAACGTCATTTTATCTGAGAAATAGTTAATAAAAAATAATCATTGTGACGGGATTTAGACAGAAAGGGGCAAAGTTACACTTTGGAGCCAAAATTCCCTGATATTAGTTTGGATGAGGCTGTTATTGATGAGAAACATGGATCGCATAATAGGTCCCCATTTGCATAATGCAGATATTCTCTTTTTAAAACACAGCAAAAGCATAAGAAGCAGAAGCAGAGGCTGAAAGCATCTAAATCTGCCTTCAGTGCTCATACATTTCAGATCCTCTTGAATGCAGCAGAGTGAAACACTAAATTTGACTTTGAGCCAGTAACAATCATTAAATTGTTCACTCATAAAAATGCATAATATATTGACTTTAAACAAAGAAAATAATTCACAAAAATATACATTTATGATCGCATGTTAAGCGTTAACCATGTTTACCTTCTGCATCCAGAACATACTATAAAATAATGAACAGTCCACCTCCTGAGCCTTACCGGTCTGTAGTTGGACGCCAGGAGCTGCTGCCGGGGTCTTAGCCCAGGGGTTAGTGTCCCGTGCGGGCAGTGCAGGGGGCAGTGCAGGGGGAATAATAGAAACAGCAGCAGCCATGGAGAAGGCAGGAGCAGTGCCATTCACTAAGCAGAGACACACGCGCTCATGTTGGGTCATATTGTTAGACATGCAAAGTATGACTCTGTTAATTACAGCCTAAAATGACAAGTTAAGAGGCAGCTAATTAGAGTGTGTCAAGCCGTTCAGTGAGTATTAGACATGCAGCAACGCAAAATAACAATTAGTCAATAAAAAGCGTATTAAAATACAGGAAATTCTCCAAATGTGGGGCATGGATTAAAGTTTGTTGTGAAATGTTGGCTATGGACTACATTTGGCAGCAAGAAGCAAGCAGATGTTTTTTTCTCCTATTTATGAACCCGTCTGGCACATTGTTGCCAGTTTCAAGGATTCTCCAAATAAGAAAATATCTTTATACAAAAAATAATGTCAAATGAACAATCTACAATGTACAAATAAACACATCAATCCATATAAGTGCATATACTTTAAACAAAAAAGTGTATTCTACAAACCATACCTGCCAAGAGATTGGTTTTATGTGAAGAAAAGCAATTCTAAACCGTAACTAAACTGGGACCACAGAACTAAACGGAAAAAAACATGAGTAAACTGCTGACTCAAAATGGAGCAGTTCAAGGGTAATGGCAGTGCAGTGTTGTCGTTACCTGGGGCGACAGGAGACTGTGGTGAGGACGCTGGTTTGGGCATTGGGGCAGAGGAGAAGGGGTCCTCTGGAGGCCCACTGAACGCAGAGGTGATCTGAGTGCACAGAGAACTGATGCTCTCGTCCTCCACCTCAGGGACTGATGACAATTGACATAGAAGAGAAAATAAGAAAATAAGCGTGATAAAGAAATGTCTAATTTTCTCTTTCTAACCTGGGTGTAAAAAACAACAATGTAAAGACACTGATATTGCTATAAAGCACCCCTGGATTATGGATTTGTGGGATTATACAATTATTTTCTTGCTGTTTTGGGCGGATGACTGATATCCGAGTGGCAAGAGCTCTGGTGTATACTATCCTGGTGCACACTGGGATAGTCTTGCAGTTTTTCCAATTTGGCTTTACTGCAAATGGCAAATAAATTCTTTACCTCATTAAAATCCATAGCAAAGTACACAACAGTTAAGTATATAGCAAAATTTATGGTTGAACCGATGCGTTATATTTTAACACAGGCTTTTGTTGCTCTTCCATTTTAACTGAGTAAAACTTGATGCATTGAGAAGAAACAGGGGATGGAACATGGGCACAGAGACATGAGACATGCTTAACTCATTGAGTTTCTGATGATTTCACCAATTCTCAAGACCCACAGAATACTATGTGCTAAGACTATGTGGAAGATGAAACTAGATACTGAAAGAATGGATTGTCTACTTTCATCAGCAAAAACAAGTTTGTTTCTAGCTAATTTAGTTGTCCTGTAATCCGCAGTCGAAAAGAGGGTCTCAGACAAATACGTCAATGGCAGTCAATGAGTTAAAGATGTCCCCAAGCTCTTGACACGTTGAGTCAAATGAGACACAGGGACAAATGTTTCTCCAGGATCAATAAAGCAAACCTCGACCTTAACCTTAAGTCACACATCAATATGAAATGACAATGACTGGTGTCACCTGTGTTGTTTATGGAGAAGTCAGACTTTCTCTGCTGAGTGGAAGGCAGGTCGTTCATGCGCAGGGATCGCACTCGCTTGAATGGTGAGGAATTGCTCAGGGCGGGGAATCCTCTGAAAGAGTATTGTCGAGCTAGAGCGTCTTCTGTGGCATGTCGCCGTGGGATCACTTGAGGACCCAGGCCAGCCACAGAGAGAGGAGGAGACGAGGAAGGGGAGGAGGAGCCCACTGAAAGGGTGCAGGAGGCGTTTGTCACACCACTGATGGAATTCAAAATGACTTTGGGTTCAGGGTCTATGAAAAGAGCAGAGCATTTTTAAGATCTCAAACAAACAGACTTCACAATTAGACCAATTTAGAGTTCAAATTTTGGCCACTCAAAATGTGCCACTGTGCATCATTCAGTTCATACATGGTATTGGTGATCTACAGCATTGTGCACAGCTGCCCTCTGACACTCACACATTATACGGCAGATTAATTTACAGGAGGCACATTGTGTGGGTGAATTGTCACGGTTATGCACTAGAGTACGGGCCTCAAGCTCCCAACCCCTTCCAAGTAGCTTTCCACAGGATTGAAATATGATGCCCAGAAATTCAATCACTTCTGATATGAATCAAGTTTCAAAACAAACTGCAAACCTTTCTTAGTGTCCTGGAGCTGCCTCATCACCTCTTCTCGCTCTGCTGCCTCTGTTGCCGTGGTGACCCTAAATGACCCCTCCCGGGTGAAGGTTGTCCTGTTGGCATCAAAGGTGGCTGTGACGCCACACTCCTTTTCCCTCTTCTGTTTCCGCTCTAAACAGGCAGCGAATGCACAACCCACCGCATGACTCAGACGCTCACCCTAAAAATGACAAAGAATTACTACTTACTCACAAAAACATCAACATCCCACTTTCCACAGAACTGACTTGGCCTGATGGTGCAGCCTTCTGGCCATTTGTCATCCAACATAAGAGAGTAGAGTAGATTAGTAGATATGCAACTCAGTAACTCAAGGCATTTCCCAACATTATAATTGCAAGTTTTGATCTTTCAAGGCTGAAGCTTCTAAGTAGTTCGAAGTAGGCCAGACTAAATCCTTAAATGTGGGAAATATTGAGGTCCAAAGGATGTTCTTACAGAGTCTTTGATGGCCATGAAGCAGTGGCAGATCCAGCGTCGCGTTGTGCCATCTCTGCAGATGTAGGAAAAGGCCTTCTCAAAGTTTCGGTCTGGAGCGCAGAACGACACTTTCTCTATCGTCTGGTCCAAGATCAAATCCTAGAAAAAACAAACATAACAAAGATGTCATTCATTACAAATGGAAATGATATAATCTAAATGATGAGAGTTTTTCCTCTGCCCTATGATTAGAGCAAAACTACTAAATATTTCAATTTTAAAACATTCATCACAAACATGACCAATGACTCAAACATATTATTCTTTTTGAGTTTAACAAAAATTATAGTGACCATTATGTTTTGCATGATTGACCAGCACAGATTTCATTTGCACTACTTGCGATGCAATGACAGTGTTCCTCCAGCAGATGTCCTCCTAAGAGCAAAACTTTCCAGGATTCATATCTTTCTCTGTAGGTGACTTGAATACATATAGACATTGAACGTCAATAAAGGAGAAAGACTATTGAAATTGCAATACCATCTGTATGAGAGACCTACATGGTCATTGTGGGAGTTTTGAGAGTAGCTTGAACTAGATGAATTCAAATGTAACCCTCTCAGGAATTAGTTTGAAACGTTTTTTTATGCAATAGACCAATCCCCAGATGTTGATGTTCAGCTTAGTCTGGACTGCTGAAAGAGCTGAAGGATTTTACTTATGGTGCATGTTTGGGTGATGCCTTTTAAAGCTGGGGTACCCATCTTTTTTGTTTCACAATTAACACAAAATGTAGTTTGTCCCAACAGAAAGAGTTGTGAACAAATCAGACCACAATATTCTGTCTTTATGTTTTTTGAATAGGTAAGTTACATGGATTTTATAACACAGTTCAAAGTGGTTTGAAAGTTAGGGACTCCAGCTTTATGTAGCCGTTTCATGAAATAGTAAAGGGATGATACGAAGACAACATTGGAACATTTCCTGGTTGAGTTTACCTTTGTTTTGTCGTCTACAACTCTGAGCCCATCTGCCGACACCCACAGCACGGCACGGACCGCCTTCTTCCCTGTCTGGAAACAAAAACACAAAAAGGAACAAAAGCCAGTAAGAAAGAATGTTAAAATAAACACTTTCTCCTTGCCCTTCAGCGTGACTTTTCATTGGCTTGGTATTTTTAATTGAATCAAACACACAAAGCACACCTGTGAAGAAACACCAGGTAAAAGACAAGAAGAGAAGTCACTGCTGAGTCATTCAGGCTGCGTCCACACTAATGCTAAATGTATGCTGCCAATTGTTCCAGTTTAAATAATTTATAGAGGGATTTGTATTACAAACCTCTGAAATGGGTGTGTAAATTATAAAGTCATCCCTTGAGTGCACTTTTAGGAGTGGCCTGTCACCTGCTTGTTGTGATGTTACTTTGATATGTAAATGAATGTATGCGAACTTCAGGAAGACCCTTTTGATGACATATTCTGCAAGTCTCCAAGCAAAGCCAAGCAAATCATAACTGGCAGATGCGCACCCTCAGGACAGTCCGTCTCTTACAGATTTGCTCTAAAATAGTTAAGTTGGCAAAATGATACAGTGCCTTTGCGAAAATATTTACACAGCTTGAACTTCCAATAGTGTATTGGTCATTTCGAGAGGCACTGTACTCTAGGTTGTAAGCCATGTTTTATGATATTAGCTGTATCAAAATGATACGTGTATTCCATTTTCCCCACATTGTATGTATTGTCATTGTCAAGAGAATATTGTAGAGGATTGATGTGGACGTAACCTGGGTTAAATGTCTATCTCTTAACCAACAGATCTGGCATAACATGGTGCTCTTATGCAGTGCCTTTCCCCATTGGGTTAACACAACTTGTGAGTTAAACATAATGGACAATAATTTGACATTGTTCATATCTCTGTTTGTAGAAGAGAAGAGCTGAAGGAGGGATCACACACCTGTTAATACAAAAACACAAGAGAAAGTGCCCCTCCCAAATCATTGTCATGTAAAACTAGGACACATGCATCAGACATGTTCAGTGTTGGTGTTTTCAGCCAGGAGATGTGATCAAAGGGTGAAGTGTTACGTGGAAGAGGAAAGAAAACAATGTAAATATTGAAATTCAAAATCTACAGACACTCAGACAACTTACTTTTGCAAAGAATCCTTTGAAGAATTTCCTGTCCTGGAAGTGGATGTGGTAAAGAGGGAAGGGGAGACGAGGGAGGAACAAAATTGTCAAAATTGGCGTTGCCTACAAAGCTACACATGGTCTGGAGCCCATAGGAGTAGTGTGGGATGGACTAAAGAAAGAAGGTGTGATTTGAACCCAGGATGCATACATGCAGTAATAATTCCTTTTTACTAATGGATACATCTTTTCACAGCTTTTCAATCACAAAAAAGGCCTGTTCAAAAGATGGCACTGAAAAGTTATAATAGTGAATAACTTTCATAGTGCAAAGTTTAGACATAATATTTTCAGATTCAATCCTCTAACTCTAAATGAATACAGCAATCCTTTGCCAGACATTATTTGGCATTCGTTTACTGCATATTTTGCATTATAAAAGGCTACGGCACCAGCAGCACAATATTTTCTTCTATCCAATTAAAAATAAGTAAATTCACTGAGTAACTTATTATAAGCTCTTGACTGAGGACATATAATGTCTGAACATATTTGAAGTTTGTTAGTTTGTTTTGAGGAAAATGATATGCCATTAATAGTTTAAATTTACCATGTGCATATTTTAAGAGCAATAGCAGATGGAACATGATATTAAAATGCCAGTTATCCAAACAGGCCTAAAGAAGGTCATATGAGGGTTTGTGGAATTATGAGTGCATGTACACCCCCAGGTTGTTAAGGGGGTTATAGTTTGTTAATGGAGACAGAACTATGAAGGTTAGTAAAGCTGCTAATTTTAACAAAGCCACTATATATTAACTCTCAAATGAAATATAACAATACAACTTCAGGTTTGGTTTGTCCCAGATCCCATTATTTTGAGTTTCCTCACAGACAAAGACACGGCCCACCTTTAGTAGTTCAGCAGACAGAAACCCATTTGTCCAGACACAAGTCTGACCTCTGTCAGAGGCTGGATTCACTCAGTCAAAAGCGGCCACATTTTAGAAGTCCTTTTACTCCATCGCAAAAGTTAACCCTTTAAGCATCATAGAAGCAGAATAAGGACACAATAGCACTTTCTATACAGCAACCTAACTAGGGTTGGGCATCGTTTGCAATTTTCCGATTCCGATTCCGGTTCCGATTCTCACTATCGATTCCTGTTCTAAACGATTCTCGATTCCGATTCTTTGAGGTGCAAGAGAGAAAAAAAAAAGATAATTTTTTTTTTTTTTATCAAATTTTATTTCATAAGTACTTTTCCTGCCATAAGGCAACAGAAAGTGCTTTACATAAAAACAAATTCAATTAAAAAACAAGGAACACGAACACACACACACAAGCGGTCACAAGCGGTGTTTATGTGGCACCGCCCACCATCATCTCAGAGCGGCTGAAATGTAAACACGTCTCGGTCTGAGACATAGTCCCTCCAGCGTGTCCTGGGTCTTCCCCGGGGCCTCCTCCCGGTGGGACATGCCCGGAACACCTCCCCAGGGAGGCGTCCAGGAGGCATCCGGAACAGATGCCCGAGCCACCTCAACTGGTTCCTCTCGACGTGGAGTAGCAGCGGTTCTACTCCGAGCTCCTCCCGTGTGACCGAGCTCCTCACCCTATCTCTAAGGGAGCGCCCAGCCACTCTGCGGAGGAAGCTCATTTCGACCGCTTGTATCCGCGATCTTGTTCTTTCGGTCATTACCCAAAGCTCATGACCATAGGTGAGGGAGGGAACGAAGATTGACCGGTAAATTGAGAGCTTTGCCTTTCGGCTCAGCTCCCTCTTCACCACAACGGTCCGATACAGCGACCGCATCACTGCGCACGCTGCACCGATCCGCCTGTCAATCTCACGCTCCATCCTTCCCTCACTCGTGAACAAGACCCCGAGAAGTAAACACGTCTCTGTAAACCGCTGAAAAACGGCTAAAGTGAGAATACTGGAGGATTATCGTTGGACGGACTGACAGATTTGACCAAAGCACAAGGACTCGTGCTCGTGCATCGTGTTTTCGGAGATTTTACGGATTATTACATGGAGGAGGAGCAGGACTTTTTGCGGTCCTCGGCAGGTGGACAGCGTGTTTCCCTTCTTCATCATTACAAAGGGCCTGACCAGTAACTTTAAGGTAAGGAACATCAGTTTTGGATGTGTTTGTAAAGCGAGTGATGAAACTGATGTAGCGTGAGTTTGGGGAAACTGCACCGGGCTAGCACGAGTGTTCAACCGGTCAATACGCCCGTTAAACCTCGCTGTCTGGACTCTAACTTAACCAAATAATATCTGAATTAGTCATTTGACGGATAAATGTTTGCTTCCTTTACCCCTTGACTCAGTTTTATCTGCGTTTGTGGAAAATGTGAAGATACAAGCGTTGAGAGGTTTCTTTGCGATGGCAGGAGTGTGTGGCTGAAGCTAAATGTGGCAAATACTGAGCAAACACGAGCGCGCCGTCTCATAAGAGCTTAATTCACTGAGTTTTTCACAAAGCTGGGTGGACAGCTGCTAAGCATTTTTGAAACGTGTCCCCCCCCCACCTTCCAAACGCTTCCGACGCCGCTGTGCGGGCCGCATCCGGCATTTAGGAATCGAAAAAAGAATCAAAATACAAACGTCTTCTTAACGGTTCCGGAACCGCACTTTAGGAACCGGTTCCAAATAGGAACCGGTTCTCGGTGCCCAACCCTAAACCTAACTAACCAAAAATTGTGTTCACAACTTTTTCTTTCAAATTTGTAGTTTTTGATAATAACAGTGGACTATTTCTTATACAGTTTCAGGGCACCCACTTTTGTCTCTTTCACATAACTTAATTTTGTTGCCTAGAGGGTTAATATAACCATGCAAAGGTGATTTTTTATCTAAAAAAACAAATACAATTTTATGAAATTAAAAATGTAATTGTATATTATTATTAATTGTATAAGAAAATGAGTCATTTTCAATTTCATATCAACTTTAATGTATCATACATAAATAGTAGTTAAATCAATTGTTCAAACAATTAGATCAGAAGAAAACAAAAAGTATTGACTATTAGGCTTAACACTTACAAGCCCAAACAAGATCTGATGCCACTTCACTGTTGTGAAAGAAGTCAGACTGAGTCAAATGGGTTCAAATGGAGGACAGGACCAAACCCTGGACCTGCTGAAAACCTGGACCTGTTTAAATGGTCATTATCCTCTGAGGAGGAATGCCACTCGGCTCCTGTTACTGCAGCGTTAATGCATGATTTCACTCACTCATTCAACCCGCAATGAGAAGTCGCTCTTAGAACTTAAGCTAGTGTCTGTAGCATTGCGAGAACCAGAGTTGAGCTTTAATGCAGCATGAATTGTTATGTGCACACCTGCGAGTGCGTACAAACCAGCTCTTAATGTGTCACACACACATTAAGATAAGATGATATACTTTATTGATCTCACAATGGAGACATTTACAAGGAATATTGCTTAATATCTCACCAGAACTATGCACTAATAAAAATTAAACACAATAAAAGGCTCTATGCTAATTCTGGAAGTTATTTACAGGAAACTAGTATACAGCATTGGAATATAGAGGTGGAGTCTTGAACCACACAAAACACAAATAGCATCCAGGACTTCTGTGATCAAGGAACTCCTGTAAACTCTGAGACCGTGACGGAAGTCTTAGTGCAAGGAGAATGGACAGCTTTGAAAGAAAATAAGTCATCACAATGAGATAAATAAAAAAGTTTGAGAGTTTTGTGGAACTTGGAAGTGATTACATTGTTTATGTTTGATTTATTAAAAACGTATCATATACAGATGACCGCTGGTGGTCCCTGTACCACCAGCAGTCCTTGCCCCACACTTTGAGACCCACTGCTCTAAACATAGCACCAGGAGCTATTAAGCAGCAGCTGGTGTCTGATCGTCTCTGCCCCCAGTAACAACATCCGGAGCCTGAAGATGTGAAAGTACAACGTATGCTGCAGCATCTGTCACAGGCGCAGAGCAAAAACAGCCACGGCGAAACATTTGCTTCAAGAATCCTGTGGGAGTCAACTGCAGGCCCACGAGCTCACCGTCTGGGAATCCAAAGCTTTATGGAGTGTGCGCTGTATACAGGCCGTGAGAGGATGCAAAACTGCAATTCTCTATTGTCTATTGCATTATGTACTCAGGTCTATGAAATTGTATTTATCTCCTATTTCCTAATCTTCATAGAGGTAGGCAGGTGGCGCCATTGGGCCAAGTTAAATGGCATTTCTGTGCAGAAAGGACCAGGCTCAGGGTATGTCTTTTCAAAAGTACTCTAGACCTTTTAAAATATGTATATTGAGATATGGTTTCAATAAATGGGAGCTGGAACAATGTCTATTTTTTAAAGAAGAAACATTAGACCTTATTTATTTACTTTGGCATACATGTTTGAATTAATCTTTATGGATAAATGGTCTAATAAAAATCTGGTGTGTGGACATTTTAATTCTTTTAAAATGGAAAAGGGTCGAATAAGTCACTTATAATATAGTTTATAATTGTTTAATGATCCGTATGCCATGTTTTTTTCAGTGTTATCCAGTCACAATTTAATTCTGTCACAATCAATGCTCAACCTATAAAACGATAGGCCCAAGTCATGTGAGACATCGTCAACAACATCGGATCATATATTATAACACTAGAGCCCAGTGCTTACTGAATCTAGTGCCTAAAATGTTCACTTATAACAAACATAATTATTGAGAAAGTATGCAACAGCCAACTTCAGCTCAGCCAAAAAATTGTATACCATATTTCAAATCTTAGAACCGTTGACTTTAGGATGCTGTGTGACTATGTAACTGTTGCTAATGGAGGCAGGATCAGAGTTTTGTGTTCACAGGCTCACAGCTGTAGTGTCCAGGACATATTTTACATTGAGGATGGTGTTATGCAGAGCCCCATTTGAAGTATGGAATTATTCTTCATAATCAAATAATATGGTGCAATACAGCTCTACAAAGTACTGTTTTTTTTTACTCATCTACAATTTGCACTGATTAATCCTGAACACAAAAAACTAGCACATATTTGCAGATAATAATCCGCATCTCAGAATCCCTAAACATTGATAATGACAAGCTCACATTGGTCATGCCCTGGTTTCAATATTCAGAAGTATGCTTCCAACTCATACTTTAGGGTGTTTTCATGGGAATGTTGTTACTTTTGCAAATTCATTATCAGTATCTTGAATAGCTTAAGGCAATTCTGAGCACAAAAACTGACATTCCTTTCATGTTGAAACAGTACACACCTTCTGATTGCGACAACAGCTGAAAAACCCACAGAATGTGACATCACAATGACATTATTGAGCATGAACTGGAGGGAGTACGAAGTAACAGTATAATCTGCTTGTCCCATCACTGACAAATATCCCCACAATAGAACAAATATATCGTTTTTTTGTTGTAAAAGTTTGAAAATCTCTTTTCAAGGTTAGAAGAGAAGCCATGTGGCCATGTGGTACCATGTGGACTTTGAACAAACGGCTCTATTCTCAGCACAGTGTAAAAGTAACATGACCCCAGTGCCTGCAGGTGTGGGCCTCTTTCCTCAACAATTAAGTCATCAGTTCCTGGAAGTCGATGTTCTCTTGAGCAACATTAGCAGCGTTAGCTTCATCTGTGGGAGTCAGGGCTGGGTCTAGTCGCCTGGCAACTGAGGAGTGAAAGTGAGAAAAACTGAGTTTAGCTTAAAAATGATCAAAAAACTCCTGAGCTCAGGAAAACGTAATAAAGCTCGACTCCCTCAAAATGCTCAAAAGCAACATAATTTGTATTGAATAATTAGTTATTTAGTTGTTATAATTGTTAAATATAAATAATACTAACAAGCCTGCAGCAGTCATGAAAAGCTCTCCATTAGGCCTCTAAAATCTTAATTTTAAGGATTGTCAAGGACAATACATTTAGTCTCTACTCCATCTCAATAAGAGTTTGTCCCCCTTCATAACGAAAGTTTGACTTAGCAGACATTGAAATTCAAACTTTTTCAAGTAAATGGCAGCAATCTCTTCAATCTGTCTTTATAGTAATCATGTCCCTTCAATAGGAAGACAAGGACAAGTAATTCCAACAGAGTAGTAGACGTTTTGCAGGTTGGGTCAGGTCACAGTGGGCGGACAACTGCACACACACAGACACACACGCCTCTGCTGTTTGGTCACAGCCTGGTAACTCAATAACAGCCCCTGCCCCTGAACCTACACCTACCCCTCCCTGGCTCTGCTCGGACCATGTGACTGTCATCAAAGACCACCTCCACCAGCTTCCCTGCCTTCACTGCGTCCCGGCCAGTTATATCTTTGTACAGCTCTTTACTTTCCAGGATAAAAGGTCTAGTTAGGAGTAGCAAATACAAAGAGTAGCTGCACGGTATTTATTTACTCAAAATATCCCATTCCATAGCACCAGTTTCAAAGCTATTTTTTAGAAAGTTGGCAGTAAGTAGTGCATCTTTTATATGAATTGACAAGAATGGTCAAACAAGTTGACTAAATTGGAGGAAGCAAAAAACACATGTCTGTTTTGCAGTTTTGTAACTTAAGTAGTGACACTTAGTTCAAAGGTCATCCCGTGTGACTTCGTCAATAATTAACAACAATGAAAAGGTATTGATACCACTGTGTAGGAGGACTCTGTGGATTCTCCACCATGTCTGAGTCACTCTGAATGTGTCATTGCCTCAAAACCTTTTGGAACCTGAAATTGAATGAGTTCCCAGGAGCTCTGACGTGATCAAAATGAAAAAAACAAACAAAAAAAACACACCAGATCTGTTCATGTCCGGTCCCTGCAGCCACAAATGTATCTCAGGCAAATTCAGGTCAATGAATCTTCAAGCTGTGGAACCCAATTAAAAATCAAACTTATCTAACAAGATACTAGCTCTCCAAACTCTTTGATTCTATGCTACCTTTGTAGCATAGAAGAATGTGAAGGTCTGCACAGCTATTTTACTCCCAAGTACTGTTTATTGATACCACAAGGACACATCTTTAGATCAGCTTTTTCAGACAGAAACGTAAAAAAGTGAGGGCTACACACACTCAGCACCAAATAGAAAGAGGGAAAAAAAGTTAGTTAAAAAAGTGAATCCAACAATATCAATAACAGAATTAGCAATCTCCACTGTTTCATGTCCAGTGCAAGGATACACGTTTTGTAAAAGACTCAAAAGCACTTCACCAGTCAAGTAATTAAATTGTAGCCACAGCTGGCTTTGAGGTAGACATAAGCTCGGCTTCAATTCTGTGACATTGACCCCTCGTACAATCAACAAGACTTACTCCCACTCCTAAGCATTTCAACAGCTTGGATGCACTAAAGCCATAGACAACCCACTGTGGCACCAAATATATGTGTGCAGAATAGGAATTGCATTTCTTAAGGCCAACGCACAACAGACCAATGAGAGAAAGCCTCTCCTCTCCAGTCTCTCACTTTGCGGGAAAATTGTGAGAAATTCAATTGGACACAAGAGTAAAAGGTCCATACCAGAAGACATACAAAAAACATTCTTAAAAACCAGGCCATTAAGTCTCCTCACAAATATCTTTTTTTCAATCAATGTTGGCAAAAAATAAAAAAATAAAAACTTTGACAAATGTGTTAAATGGACGTCAAAAATGTGTGACGTGCTGCGTGTGATTGACGCCCATTAGCTTTAATATCTGCCAAATCCTCATTCATTCATAACGAAGCTGCTTTCATGACAATAACAGATCATTGACTGGACTACTATCCCATCCACACTGATAAAAAAGGTTTAAATTCTTTAATTACTTTAACTAAAATCACAGTATGTCTTAATGTTTCTGAAGCTGGATCTGCACAGACTCAGACAGAGGAGCGTGACTCCGGTGACTCCCTCAATGGAAAAGTCATCGTCCTCCCTTTCAAACAGACTTCCTCCTTGAACCTGGAATTTGTTTCTTTGCATAACTCCAGCAGAATCGACAGCAGCAGCAGGAAGTACATGTCGGCTCGCAACCTCCGGCTACAGGGTGTTGCAAGGAGTGGCGAAGGAAGGAAGAATTGTGGATAACAGGACAGCGCCCGTCCCCTACAGGTGGTCTATGGTGGAGGCCTTAGACAGTAGGGAAGACAGTGGAAAGTGGAACTTTCAAGGATAAAACCATGTTGAGAAGAGCACATATTTATGTTTGGTTAGGGCCGTATTTAGTCGGGGTGATATTTCTTGGTTTTGGGTTAGGCTTTTTTGATTTATGTTAAATTAATACAGTTTCTTTGTTATGTGCTATAAACAAATTTAGAGCCGTTTAAAGATTTGATCATATTTAGACTGTTTTGAGCTAAATGCAACCAGGGCGGAGAAAACAAAAGATTATGACAAATAAATGTGCCATATAGCTCACAAACAATTGTGGTGATAACTAATAAAACTGTCTGTAGTGGTTCTTCTGGCTTTATAGCAAATGTCTGCACATGATCCTTTACTCTTCAAACACAGCTTTGAAGTTATTTTCAAGCTAACGGCAGGACTGCGATGTGACATTCAAAGGAGGAGGATCAGAAAGAATATCACAGAATGAAATGAATGGCTTTGAGTAGAGTAGTTGCTGGGAATGAGGTTTTTTCCAATCCCTTTTGCAGGCTCCATTGTCCACTGTTCTACTGTCTATGGCGAAAACCCATCAGAAAGATTCAAAGAGGAAGTCGCTACAAACGATAAAGCTACAACTTGATGGGACAAATTCAGGGCTTTGGAAGAATTCTACAGTTGTTGTTAGTCTAGAAGAATAACAAAGAACTAGGGGAGATCCTGCTACAGGCGGAGGGCTTTCCTAGTGGGACCTACCGTTTTGAGCCGCTTCACTGCGTCTTCACAGATGTGCATGCCTCTGGACTCCTCCACCTCCACGTGTCCCAGGTACTGCACGGCACAAAAGAGGAGAGAAAGTATCAGTAATGTGAGGATGTGAGTGGCAATCGTCTGAAGTAATCTTTATTAAATATAGCGCATTTCACAGACCAAGGTCACACAAAGCACTTTGCAATATGAGGCAATTTCCATTCACTCCACACACTGTCCATCACATCCGTTCTCTCATTACATTTAAATCTACAATACGTGTTTTTACTGGTAGAGGAAACGTACGCAAACACGGGGAGAGCATGCAAACTGAACATCGAAAGCCCCCCCCCCGTCCGTGTTGCAGATAAGAGATTATAAAGAACAAATAGCATTCTGGAAGTTACTCTTTGTATTCAACAAAACAAAACTACAATATACCACACAGATGGCTTGTAAATGTTTGTGTAAGTGTGCAAGATTTTTATTGAATAAAAGTTGTTTAGAACCGACAAACCATTCATAAAAATATTGTCTTAATCCATCAAATAATTATTCAACTGTATACATTTATTTTAATTTATTTTAGCTAATGAATAAATCACTGTTGTGGTATCAACATTTGCTTTTATCGTTGCGGTTGAAAGTTTAGATAATATGTGACAACACTTGTGGGAATAGTGGGTTTAGGAAGATTAAGAGATAGTTCTAATTGGAGAGAGATAGTGGCGAGGCTCACGCTTACAGCAAAACAAAAACTACAGGCTATGGCAAATGTACAAGTGTTTCCAGAGCAGCAGACGACTGAAGGCAATACAATATGATAGAAACTCTATTCTATGTTGTATGCAAATAGAATTAATTTAAACCCAGTCAGTACAGACACTCTGCTGTGGGCTGTGAAAATAGCGAATAGCCGCAATAATCGTAGCCATTGCCAATAAGAAAAATGCAAAACGTGGAGTAGAAATTGTATTATCTTCTCCGTAGCAACAATTTCAGTGTTACAAATGTCTAAAAGCTGAGAGGAAAAGTATTAGTCTTCCCAGTGCTGTATGCGATCTATTAAACCTTGTTGTGGCCCCAGCTGAGAGCAGAGAGGCTCATTAGATGTGTTCAGGTGAAGCAGCTGGTGGCTCCAAACAAACAAACATGCGCAGATAAGGCTTCTCCTTCATTGAAAATTACACCGCAATTTACAATCCTGCTGACAACAGGACCATCAGGAATTGGACTGTGCTTTGCCCGAGTATAATTTGTGTCACATGATTATAGCAGCACAAATCCCAAGATAAAAGAAACTAGGAATACATTTAAATACAATAGTAATTCAAACGTATATCAAGCAGCATCGTACTTTGCCTTTACACGTTTAACAATTTATGATATTGGACTCTTATTACAGAAATAATGTAGTCAATTAAGGCTGAGGTCTCCAACTTCTTCATAAATTATCCATGTTGTTTGTCCGAACAGTAGTTTAAAATCAGACCAGAACATACCATGTTTATTTTTTTAAGAAGACTCTTTTGCATACTTGTAAGAACGAGCCCCGTGAGTCACTATTTAACTCTTTGGGCTGAGAGGTGATTGACAAAGAGTGGTTTTCACTTTTCCATCTGAATAAAGATGTTCTGGTGTCCCAAATATATAGTGTTAGAAACTGTTATGAGAGTGAGGAACTAATTACATGGATTTTCAATAGTTGAAATAGGTGAAAGTTGTTACCCCAGCTTTAAGGTTTTGAAGATGAGGAAATATTTCTGATATCATTTTAGTAATAAGTTGCATATATATATATATAGTAACATCCTAAACCTAGCTTCTGTTTCCCCTTGTGTTTCTCTATTTAGTGTCACTTCAAAGCTCGACCTGATCTCGTCCTGGGGACCATTGTACAAACGGTGCAGGGAGGAAGTCCTTACCCTTTTCCTACAGATACAAAACACAGGGGCCACCATAGATAACCCCACCCTCTGGCCCCTGCTATTCTCAGAGTATGACGCCACAGATGAGTCATAGCACCAATGTCGTGGACCAAAGCTATGAGGACGTAAGAGACGTGCATGGAAATACAAGGGAGCTATCCACACAGAAGGGGCCAGGGAAACTAATGAAGCAGCAAGCGACTTAAGACTTGGGGGAAATGACCGTTAAATGAGGGATCCAAAAGTAGATAATAAATCCCTTTCTAGACCAAGAGTTTGGTTCAGAAGCGGATTTGTTGTGAAAAAAATAACACAATAAAGGATAAGCTCTAGAATACAGTTAAAATGCCAGTAAACGATGTGCTATACTGCACATTTCTGGTAAAAAAAAAAAGTTGTTGAATGTGCAATTAATGTGGCAGACATTCTGTAAGTCTTTCAATGACCCTCTGGGGTTCTTGGTAATACCTCATTGAGCATTCTGCCATGCTTTCTTGCAGTCACTTTAGCAGCATGGCCACTCCTTAGGAGGGTAGCAACGGAGCTGAACTTGCTCCATTAGAGACGGTTCGTCAAATAACGGACTGATGAAGATCAAAACTTTTAGATGTACTTGTGACCGTTTCCAACTTTGTTAGCAGACTTATATACATGATGTTTGGCATTTTAAAACTGACAAAAAATCAACAGGGTTTCCCCACGGACTTAACTTTGTCTAGTGGCATCCTTGTCTTCTTCATGCACTAGAGATTGACATTGTACTATGAAGCCGGAACACATGATTTTCAACTGTACTGAAAGTGCTCTTTTCTGCAGAAAAGCTTCCCAAACTCTAAGCAAAATGAATGGCATTTTTAGTAAGCTCTTTTCTTTTAAAGTTCTCATTCTCAGGATTCTCTGAATGGGTGTAATCCACAGGGATCCGAGGCATTCATTCATAGCATAACAGGGAAATATGTCTGGGAAAAATGAACACTTCTAAATATTATGTCTCATTTCAAAAAGTAAGTGTAGAATCAATTTGCAGGAGAAGCCACACACAACAAACACATGATTGTCATAGCTATAATTCCTTCTTGTACTCTAATATCTTCCCTTTCATTAGGGTCATGTAGAGTCTATGTAGTTTTTAATAGAACAAGCAGCGTGGACTATGTTTTAGGGATGTATTTGATCTAGATAAAGACTAGGAAATCGATCCTTGCCTTAGTCTCTAGCGCTTTATCGCTCCAATTCTGCCGTTACATCAAATCTGGTCCATACAGTAGAAGCTATTCTGTTTTCCATGTCTTTTGTCAGATAAACACACACTTCATACATTCAAATAAAGTTAATTGTTGGGAGTATTATTCAAGCGGCCCTGAAAAATCCTTATATAGATCTCTAAACTGCACATATATCAATTATCTCAACTTTCCGCTGTGGTCAAATAACAAGTGCAAGTCAAGTGCAAATTAACACTAACGTTACTGAAACTTGAAACAAAAGGTCGGTTTTTGGAAGTGGGCCGCTCTAAACAACGTCACTCAAAGCCTAATTGACACAGTGTGAAAAGCATGGTCCAGGTCCCAGAGAGCCTGTTTCGTTCCCACATTGCTTTCTTGTCGGCAGATTTCACTACAGCAGCAAGCCACAGCACCAGAAACAGCCTCTGTCAAGCATTCAGCTTGAGAAGAAGGTGGAGGGAGGGAGTGCAGCAGGGTAGGTTGCACCAGCACAGAGCAGGAATGTAGGGAAATTATTTGACTGGAGAGGACATGGGACCCATAATGGAATGCAAATCAATTGTATGAGTGAACCCTTGGTTGTAATAAAAAAATACAAGCCGATGTCTTGTACAGCAAAGAAAGTTAAACCATTGCAACAATGTCAGCTCCAAATAATGTTAGGACATTATAACTAAACACATAGACACTAGAGATGCACCGATCCAGCTTTTTTACTACCGATACCAGAGCTATGGGTATCTGCCGATACCGATATTGACCGATACCGGAAATGATCATGCTAAAATGTATTTAATAATTGAACTCTTTGTTCAAGTAACTGGAAAAGCAGTGGATGAACTAAAACGCTAAACTTTCCGGATAAAAATGGATTCAACATAAATGTGCATGTACCTGGGTTCCAAATGGTCTATGGGAATGCGAGCCCAAACTGATGAACTCCAACACTTTCGGGTTGTTGCTGAAAAGCTTTTTGTGACGCTGCATCAGTGTCATCTGTGTCTCGTTGTTTTCACGTAATCTCCTTTCGATGAAAAACTCCCCATGCTGTTTCTCGTGGTGCTTAGTCGTGTTGTATTTCGCTAGTTTACCGCCGCGTGAACAACGCTGATTCTTTCCTGCGCTCCATGCTGTGTTGTTGTTGTTGTTGTTGTAGAGCACCACGAGGAAGTGACGTGTACGTGAGATCTGATAAATTACTTTTAATTCATTCATTTTATACGTATATGTACATTATGCACAATGTATTTTAAGACATTGTGCGGTACCTGGTATGTATTAAAAAATATATATATATATTTTTTTTTTAAAAGAAAAGAAAATGGATCGGCAGCACGGCGCCTCTCTCTACGCAGATATCCAATCCAGTATTTTTTCTGGTATCGGCGCCGATATTGCTACCAGTATCGGATCGGTGCATCCCTAATAGACACATGCAGGTAAATGATTGTGATGTTTGTTTAAAGGTCCATTAAGCTCTTCCTCATTTATCACAGTCCAATCCTATGCACATGTCATAATACTTTGGGTGATACACCATACAACTTGTAACTGTAACTGTAGTGATGTTTAAAGCAGATAAAATACCATCCATACATTCATACATTGTTGCTAAAGTGTATATGGCCTGATATGGCCTTTGTAGTGTTTTGGATCACTTCCTTGCATGAATAAAAACACAACAAAGAAGTGGCCGGTATAACACTCAGATCCATCCATCCATCCATTTTCTTCCGCTTTATCTGTTGCCGGGTCGCGGGGGCAGCAGTCTAAGCAGAGACGCCCAGACTTCCCTATCCACACACACCTCCTCCAGCTCGTCCGGGGGGACCCCAAGGCGTTCCCAGGCCAGCTGAGAGACATAGTCTCTCCAGCGTGTCCTGGGTCTTCCCCAGGGCCTCCTCCCGGTGGGACGTGCCCGGAACACCTCCCCAGGAAGGCGTCCAGGAGGCATCCTGAACAGATGCCCGAGCCACCTCAACTGGTTCCTCTCGACGTGGAGAAGCAGCGGCTCTACTCCGAGCTCCTCCCGTGTGACCGAGCTCCTCACCCCATCTCTAAGGGAGCGCCCAGCCACTCTGCGGAGGAAGCTCATTTCGACCGCTTGTATCCGCGATCTCGTTCTTTCGGTCATTACCCACAGCTCATGACCATAGGTGAGGGAGGGAACGAAGATTGACCAGTAAATTGAGAGCTTTGCCTTTCGGCTCAGCTCCCTCTTTACCACAACGGTCCGATACAGAGACCGCATCACTGCGCACGCTGCACCGATCCGCCTGTCAATCTCACGCTCCATCCTCCCCTCACTCGTGAACAAGACCCCGAGATACTTGAACTCCTCCACTTGAGGAAGGACCTCTCCACCCACCTGAAGAGGGCAAGGCACCTTTTTCCGGTCGAGCACCATGGCCTCGGATTTGGAGGTGCTGATTCTCATCCCAGCCGCTTCACACTCGGCTGCAAACCGTCCCAGTGCATGTTGCAGGTCCTGGTTCGTTGGAGCCAGCAGGACGACATCATCCGCAAAAAGTAGAGATGAAATCCTGTGGCTCCCGAACCGGACCCCCTCCGGCCCCTGGCTGCGCCTAGAGATTCTGTCCATAAATACAGTGAACAGAACCGGTGACAAAGGGCAGCCTTGGCGGAGGCCAACATGCACCGGGAACAGATCTGACTTACTGCCGGCAATGCGAACACAGCTCTGGCTCCGGTCATACAGGGACCGAACAGCCCTCAGCAGAGGACCCCGGACCCCGTACTCCCGGAGGACCCCCCAAAGGACACCCCGGGGAACACGGTCGAACGCCTTCTCCAAATCCACAAAGCACATGTGGACAGGTTGGGCGAACTCCCATGAACCCTCGAGTATCCGATGGAGAGTATAGAGCTGGTCCAGTGTTCCGCGACCGGGACGAAAACCACACTGCTCCTCCTGAATCCGAGATTCGACCATCGGACGTAGCCTCCTCTCCAGTACCTTGGAGTAGACCTTACCGGGGAGGCTGAGGAGTGTGATCCCACGATAATTGGAACACACCCTCCGGTCCCCCTTCTTGTAGAGAGGGACCACCACCCCGGTCTGCCACTCCATTGGCACCGCCCCCGATCGCCACGCGATGTTGCAGAGACGTGTCAGCCAAGACAGTCCTACAACATCCAGAGACTTTAGATAGTCAGGACGGATCTCATCCACTCCCGGCGCCTTGCCACCATGGAGGCTGCCAACCACCTTGGTGACCTCGGCCAGGGAGATGGAAGTATCCGCCCCAACATCCTCAGCCTCTGCCTCCTGGACGGAGGACGCGATGGGGGGATTGAGGAGAACCTCGAAGTATTCCTTCCACCGCCCGACAATATCCCCAGTCGAGGTCAGCAGCCCTCCACCCGCACCATACACGGTGTTGGCAAAGAACTGCTTCCCCCTCCTGAGGCGCCGGACGGTTTGCCAGAACCTCTTCGAGGCCGACCGATAGTCATGCTCCATGGACTCTCCGAACTCCTCCCAGTCCCGGGTTTTTGCCTCTGCAACAGCCCGGGCCGCGGCACGTTTGGCCTGCCGGTACTGGACAGCTGCCTCAGGAGTCCCACGAACCATCATTGCTCGATAGGACTCCTTCTTCAGCCTGACGGCTTCGGGGATTGCCGCCGGGACCAGCACCAGAGACCTTGCGACCACAGCTACGAGCCGCCGCATTGGCGATAGAGGAAGAGAACATGGTCCACTCGGACTCGATGTCCTCCTCCTCTGCCGGGACCTGGGAGAAGCTCTCCCGGAGGTGTGAGTTGAAAGTCCGTCTGACAGGGGGCTCAGCAAGACGTTCCCAGCAAACCCTCACTACACGCTTGGGCCTGCCAGGTCTGACCGGCCTCCTGCCCTGCCAGCGGATCCAACTCACGACCAGGTGATGATCGGTTGACAGCTCCGCCCCTCTCTTCACCCGAGTGTCCGAGACACGCGGTCGAAGGTCAGATGATACGACTACAAAGTCGACCTCCGGCCTAGGGTGTCCTGGTGCCACGTGCACTGATGGACACCATTGTGCTCGAACATGGTGTTCGTGATGGACAGGCCGTGACTGGCACAGAAGTCCAACAACTGAACACCGCTCGGGTTCAGATCAGGGGGGCCATTCTTCCCGATCACCCCTCTCCAAGTGTCACTGGCATTTCCCACATGGGCATTGAAGTCCCCCAGGAGAATAACGGAGTCCCCGGGCGGTGCACTGTCCAGTACCCCTCCCAAGGACTCCAAGAAGGCCGGGTACTCTGCACTACGGTTAGGCCCGTAGGCCGTCACAACAGTGAGAGACTTGTCCCCCACCCGGAGGCGGAGGGACGCGACCCTCTCATTCACCGGGGAGAACTCCAACACGTGGCGGCTGAGATGGGGGGCAATGAGTATGGCCACCCCAGCTCGCCGCCTCTCCCCGCGGGAAACACCAGAAAAGTGGAGCGTCCAACCCCTCTCAAGGAGTTGGGTTCCAGAGCCCAAGCTGTGTGTGGAGGTGAGGCCGACTATCTCTAGTCGGTATCGCTCAACCTCCCCCACAAGCTCGGGCTCCTTCCCCCCCAGTGAGGTGACGTTCCACGTCCCAAGAGCCAGATGTTGGGTGTGTGGACTGGGTCGTCGAGGTCTCCGCCTTCGACTGCTGCCCAGTCCTCTCTGCACCTCGCCACCACGGACCCCTCTGCAGGTGGTGGGCCCACAGGAGGGAATAACACTCAGATGAAAAACAATATTCTTTTTTATATCTATTACACAAACTGTTTTTCATCCGAGAGCAGAAATGTCAAGGTTCAGTACTATGCCACAGAGACATTGTCTGTTCATATTTGTCTTTCCAGGTAGATGCTCAAACACAAAGTAACTATCTGGCCACAATCTCAGTTCATCTGAGCAGTTTTCACTTCTGCTACTGGGGTGAGACTTGAGTGATTGCAGGAAGTGTACCATGGCGCTTGTGTTTGCAAAGAGAGGTTTTTGTTGACTAAATAGTGTGAAGCATCCAGTCCATTACTCACACAGCAGGCCGGCCGTTACTGCGAATTACAGCATTTTGCCTTTGGACGCCATGAGTTCTAAGAGACGTGTCTATGGGCTCAGCAGCAATCAAAAATACATAAATATACATAAATATGCCATTGCAGACTCCTGTGCAAATGAGAGTATATGGATATCTCCTGTTTACTTGTTTGGCCTGCATTTCATGGTTATTGTTTTTGTCTGGAGTATGGCATTAAACTTCAATCATTTTATTGAATCAACCCGACAGCAGCAACATCCAACAGAGTACTTTAAAGTTACAGTTATTGATATTTCTGCATTTATTCCATTATTTTGATGGGACAGTGTGTATTAATGACCATCATTTGCTGTAAATACACTGGATAGTAGCCTTGGGCTGATTTCCATTTCTGTTGTCCTACAGTCACATTCACAAACACACTCATTCACCCTGAACAATATATTGTACAGTTTTTTAGTGGTGGGGGAAACCAGAGTACCCAGAGGAAACCTACATAGACACAAGGGAGAACATGCAAACTCTACAGAGAAAATCCCCATCTGGAGGGTGAATCGAACCCAGGACTTTCTTGCTGTGAAGCACAAGCGCAAATTGCAATTAAATTGAATAATGTATGTTACTTATTCGTCTTCATTATGGGGCATCTATATGCTCTATGTTTATTAGAACCGCTGGGAGTAGAGGCACTAGTATAGCTAATGCTGATTATGACATATGAAGAAGTTGCAACCATAAAAAACACTGCATAATCTTCCAATAGTCTTAAGAGCAGTAAAAAAGCGCACACAGCTCTTACAAATTAGCCAGCGCATCCTGATGAAAGTTGCGCTTGCTAGTGAAACGCCTGTGATTAATCGCCTGCTGTCTCCTTGGGTATCCCGTAACTATGTGTGTGTGTGTGTAGTCCTGACTGTGTTCTGTAATCTGTGTCTGTGGGGCAGATTGGGCAGCAGAGTCACCTTGACTGCAAAACTGCACTTTCCACTGCGGACCGCCTCCTCGTCTGTCTGCCACTGGTGCGGTCGGCTCGATTCCGGGACGTACACATCTTTCTTTCGACGGAAACTCTGCCGTAGCTTGTTCATGGCTGAGCCCCCTGAGAACAGAACAAAAAGATTCATTTATTAAATCAACTGTTCGCTATTAGCATCAACAAAGGCAAGGAAAAGGCTGAGGTGGGGTTAAGAGCGACATGGAGTAAATGCTAAAGTTGCACCGTAGGGAAATATGACAAAGCTGCTGTAAAGGCTGACAACATCAGGGTGATGAGTACATTTCTTGAGTTTGCTAAGAGACAAGGCGTTGACAATAATGTAGTAAAATGCTACAGGTAGTGCTTTGACTGTTAAACCACAAACAAATGGATTAAAAGTGTAATTTTACAGTTACAATTATTAGGAGAAAATGCAAGTTAAATCAAGTTGTGCAAAGTTATTATTGGTGTTTGAAGCCGTGCAGACTTGAGGAAGGCTATTTTAACAATTTACATTTTTATTTATTATGAAATTGCTTTGAAAATACACATTTATAGGGAATTCCTTAAATTATTTCAGTTAGCAAATTTGTAACCCACTGAATGAGAGCAACATTTCTGAATAGAAAAGTGGATATAACAAAACCATGCCTCCTTTCTAAATGATGTGTAGACTGTGAAATGTTATCACCTGAAATGATAATCAACTGACCAAATATTCTTCATATCACATATGACATGACAAACTGTTAAAAATCTAAATTATAGAATGAGATAAAAACCGGCGTGTTTCCTCTGTTGAAGCCTGAAGGAGGAGGTCCCTGAGCCAACTGTGAACAGATGTTTGTCACTACACACGCTCCACACAGCAGCACCCATAGGGACCAGTGCTTTAGGGGGAACAGAGATGATAATAATCCCAGAAAGGAGATTATTGGTTCAGAGGCTAAATTGAACTTCATTAATATGTTATTAATGAATGCTATAGGGCAATTCTTAACAAAAAGTTAGAGGATGTAAGAGACAAACACACAAGAGACCATTAATATTCAATAATGATCTGTTTTACTGTTCAGGCATAAATACGGCAAATAATCCTTTCAAAGAGAAATAATTTTACCTGTATTTGTCAAAATTTAACATGAGCAAAATGCGGTCTACTCTACAAGTAAATCGTTTCTCAAGACTTCATAGCCATATTTATGTCAGTTAATGAAATGCATTAAATATATTGCCTTAAAATAGTCTATATGAGGAGGAAGTGTGTGTGGATAGGAAAGTCTGGGCATCTCTGCTTAGACTGCTGCCCCCGCGACCCGGCAACGGATGAAGCGGAAGAAAATGGATGGATGGATGGTCTAATGAAATCTAATGCCAGCTCTTGTACACTCCTGCGCTTATCGTTATTCACACGTTAACACTATTCTGCTCCATAGTGTGAAAGCGAGGTGGCAGACTGCTAAAGCATAATCACAAATGCCATAAATATTAATTTAAAGAGACCGTTTCACAAGTCTATTCTAAATACCAGGATTCTGTGACTGCCTACTGTACCGTTATGTCAAGTTTAAAATAGCAATTTACTTATTTTCAGCATGTCTTGTAAACAAGACAGGCCTTTCTGATATTATGATGTTCTACAGCATTCACAATACATTTCAAATAGCATTGCATGTCTTTCTGGTTGTTGGCAGAAGATTAAGAGGCACTGAAAAGCCAGGAGCCAATTAAAAATCACTGATCCAAACTCAAAGTGAGAGCTCCCTTCATCATTGAAAACCTGACTTCTTCCTGGTGTAAGGAAAACAAAGTTTGTGGCATTGAAGTTAGAGTTTAATATTTCTAATCCCAAATTGTGAGTCTGTGCTAATGAGTTGGACCAAGTTACTTCTGATCTGATGAGGATCTTTGGGATTACAGATTGTTAATCCAGGAGAGGGAACTCTCTCTGTGCAAATAACAGGGTAGTCTCCGCACCAGGGCCAACAAATGTCATGATAAATCAGTTACAAAAATGACTATGACGACTTGTTTTATAAATGTAATTATTTATTTAGGATCCCCATTACTTGCCAGAGCAGAGCATATATTCTTCTTGGGGTCCATAAACAAAGGATGAGCCAGGTCATAAAACACTGTGTTGAAAATAAAAACAATGTGGCAATATTTTTGCAATTCAACTTTTTATAATGGTTTACGAATGTGCAAACTCTAAAAATGAATGTTTTTTTCCTAATATTTAAATTGACTCAAATTGTAGTTCATGAATTCCAAATTATTTTATAGTCTGGGAACATAATACAGGTAGACATTACAAAGCGCTGCATGTTTGCATAGTTAACCAATCTTGTGATTTCATATTTGAATGTAAAGAGTATGTGAAGTGAGCCTGTTATTTGTGCGAGTCAGGCGGCTGCTGCTGTGGACACTACACAATGAGGCTTTCATCCCTGTCCAAAGGCACTCACTCATCAAACTTGTGTTGTCAGCGAGAGTAGAGGAGGCAGGACAGGATAGCAAACCCACACCAAGAACAGAACATTCAGGCTGCGTTTAAAACTCTTAATAATCAGCACAGAAAAAGGAAGAGGCATGTCAAATCAGTTTTAAAACTCACTACCACACAGTAAAAAAAAAAAAAGACATTTTGAAGCCAATCATATATAAGCCAAAACAGTATAGAATGACAATTGGTAGTCTTATTCAAACGGACCTCCCTAGCGGAGGTAAAGATGTAACTAAATCTCAAAAAGGAAAAAAAATTAGGAATTGGTAGCGTTCATAAAAGCACATGAGCAATTTATATTCTTTGAAGACTCACAACCAAACAAACTATAACATGAAAAGTTGTGTTTACTCTTAAAATGCATCTTAAGGAAATGGTGTAAAAACAGACTCGACAGAATATGCAGGAACAGTGGCGCACAATATAAAGAATGAACACAAATAATCATGTAAAGCTTTCCTGACAAAACCTGTCTATCCAGAAGGAAAAATCCTCAAAAATCTTTCCACACAGAAAAAACCTCTAATCTTGTTACTTCTGAAATGACAAGCCCATAGTCAAGGTGACAACTGTTTCCAAATATACCACAAAAACAAAGGATTTCCCATGTATGAGGGTGTAGACAAGTCTCAGCAGCAGTCTCCTCCTTTTCTTTCTGAGCTGGAAGCACTCAGGCTGTCACTGGCACCGCACTGAGCCCAAACACGACCTGACCTAAATAATCCCACAGAGTGAAGCAACGTGATTCCTCTCACTCACACGACTTAAGGCTACAACCTGCATGTGGCGCGTCAAAGACCAAAATAAACTATGTACACACAACAAAAAGTTGAGTATTTTTCAAAGCATGGGTTTATACATTCAGGATTTTTGTGGTTTATTTCCAACCTCTTATAAAAACAAGTCCATAATAACGGTTTGTTTAGAGGTGCACAGTAAAATCAGCTGCAATAATCATGTTATGGTAAATTGTCAAAAGACTCTTTACTAAACACAATTTGAGTTTGATTTGGCTTGAGCAGAAAATAAAAACAATTATCTTCAGGTGTTTATATTTTTTAGTGTGTTTCGTATAACGATAACGATATTATTGCGATATTTTTGTCCGTCACCTAAAATTACAATCTGCATTGAAACGCAAGAGACAAATAACAAAAAATAAGCACAACATAAATGACATTCAAATGCATATATTTATATACTTTTTTGTTTGCTTCTTGCTTGTTTGTTTGCTCGTTGATGCGTCTGTCTGTTTTGTTGTATTTAATAAGAGGAAGAAAAAAAAAGAAAAAAAAATCTTTTTTTTAATTGCACATCTGTTCGATATGGATATTGCATGCATCAATATGTGCATATTTTAGATTTGAAAAATAAAATTTGCACCAGTGAAAAAAAAATAAGTGGTCCTGGTGTTTTCATGTATAACTAAAGATGTGGTGGATCTTAGAGATTAGGTTACAGTAAAGAAGAAAGGGCTTGGGCAGGCAGGGTCGAGTGAGGTTTTTCAGCTCCTCTTTTAGCAACTTTTCTGACCACAACTTTAGATCTTAGGCTATTGAATACACCCCCGTTATTTTGGGGGTAAATCCAGATGCTGCTCTTTGCAGTGTCATATCAAATGAGGAAAACACTGGCCTCAAAAATGAACACACATATCTGGATTTCTGCCATGTGGAAAGAATAAATATAAAATTTACTTTCCATGTAAATCAAGCAAAAGCAAAGCAAGTAAAAATGTCCAAGCAACGGATAAATGATGCATACTGTTTTTCTTATGTAACAGTTCTTATGTTTTTTTGTATTGACTTGTAGTTCTCTGTATTCAGTGGCGGTGGGCGTCTTACTATCAATATGGAACAAAGGACTTGAGAAATCTATGAGAGATAAGAATAACAAAGTGTTATTGTGTTATTTGCAGGTGAAGCTGCTGTCAGCGTGCTACTGGAAGACTATTTCTAGTTCAGGTGCATGCAGCGATGCTGCTATCTGTTAAATTGAGAGCTGTGGAAAAGGAGAATTAAGATCACTGTTTTAGTTGATATTTTAGAAAAATGACCAAGTGATTACCAAAAACAGTGTTGGGGGTGAAATTGCAGCATTGGAGTGAAAACCAAATCATGCTGCCACATGATGCAATGAGATTACTGAAAATCTTGTGCCTCTAACTTGGTCGTGCTCTGGGGTTCTCTTTTTGCGAAAAAATGTGGCTGAAGTGCAGCTGGTTAATATATGTTCCCCTGAAGACAACAACAAAGCAAGAAAACAGAAGGTCATAACATAATTAAAAGCAAATTAAAAGGTCAAACATGCCACTTTTCCAACTAGATTAGCAACGCTACAAATAGCAATGTTTTCTAGATAGCTTCATAATAGAAGGCCCAGTGGGCGGAAAAAAATCAAGACTATAAGATCAATGACCAAAATATATAAGCAAACTTTGATCTATGCGTGTAGCAGACAGAATCACACTCTAACAAACTCAGATTGAGCTCACCAGTCGTTTTTCTGTATCTGTCCTGATTCAAATAAACTAAACAAATACATTAGGTTGGCAGCCCCATCTTCATCATCAATTATAGAAAAATGCATAATTCAAGGAAGATGAAACAGCTATAGC